GTGGGGGCCCCGCGGGGCCGTGTCCGCCCCCCGAGCCCGTCCCGTCCCGCGCGGGGCGGCCCCGGCTCCGTTGCGGCTCGCGGGGCACTGCGGCATTCCCGGCGCTCCCGGTGCCACCCCGCGGTGCAGCCCCTGGCACTGGCACATCCCGGCCGCTCGGCAGCCCCAGAGCTGGGAGCACCCCGGGGTCCCAGAGCCCACGGCCTCTCGCGCTCGGGCACCTCCTGTTTCCCTCCAGTTCACCCCGGAATCGTGGGGTTCAGGCACCCCTGGGGACCTTGCTGCCCGGGTGTCCCCATTGTCACCATGTCCCAGTGCTTGCAGCAGCCCTGGGGACCTGGCGCAGTGACATGCCCAGTCGCGTCACCCCCCTGACATTCTGCATTGCATCGCGTTGCATCCGGGGCTCGCAGAATTCCCGGGGCTCGCAGAATTCCCGGGGCTCGCAGAATTCCCAGGGCTCACAGCCTTCCTGAAGCTCGCAGTCTTCCCGGGGCGCACAGCGTTCCCAGAGCTCACAGCATTCCCGGGGCTTGCAGCATTCCCAGCCTCCCCCTCCAGCCTCCCACCTGTGCCCATCCCCACGCTGGGCCGTCCCGGTGATGTCCCCTCCCCGGTGTCCCCATGCTTGGACATCCCGGGGCCTCCCTCCCCCCGGCCGGCGCATCCGCTGCTCCCGCCCCCGCGGCGCTGGGCCGGTGCCGCCGGGACAGCGTTGGTGGCAGTGCTGGTGGCGCCGGTGGCACCATGCTGCACTGCGTGCTGCACCGCGCCGCCCGCCTGCGCAAGGGCGACCCCGTGGCCAGCCTGACTTTCCGAGGTGAGGCCGTCCGGGCGCCGGGCGGGAGGATCCCGTGGGATGGGAGGCGCTTGGGGCGCTACGGGGACCGGCACTGAGCTCTGTCACCCGCTGGATGGTGGCAAAGCGGCCGAGTGACACAGGGAGGTGCCCCGTGGGACAGGGCACCCATGGGTGCTACCGGCTGCACTGGCCTCTTGCTGCTTCTGAATGTGGAACACCCAAAGAGCCCGTCTGGGGTCATCCCGGCGCTGCAGGCGCCCGAGGACGGAGCGCCCTGTTCCCGGGGCACCCATGGGTGTCACGGTTTGCAGGGACCCGGCCGGGCCGGAGCGAGGCGAGTTCTGCCCTGCAAAACGCTCCTTGCAGGAGGCGGTTTTAGGACAGCGTTTTCCAGCGGGTGAGAAATGTCCAGGATTTCAATAGGGAAGTGAAGGGGGAGCAGGGGTGCCGGGTGCCGGCAGCGCCCACTCCGGCCGGCAGCTCCTTCGGTTCCCGGCCGGAGATGGATCCACGGAATGTGGCGCCTGTGGAATGGGAAGAGGCAGTGCTGGGAATGCCGCGCGCCAGGGCAGCCTTTCCCTGCGAGAGGGCCCAGGAGCACTGAGTGATGGATGCACTGGGGTCCCTGCTCCCTGGGGATGCTCGGCGGAGCTCCGGCGCCCAGGAAGCATCCTATGGATCTGGCGCGCGCAGCTTTCCCGCTGGGAGCCCCGCGCTATTTCAGGACCGGAAGATCGAACGGCGTTTCTTTAAAATCCCAAATAGGAAAAGATTAATTTGGCAGCGCTTAGCTCGGGGCGGGGGTCGGGAATCGGGCCGGCGCTGCCGGCTCCGCGCCAGCGCTCCCGGCCGCCTCCATGGGCGCTCGGCCGCCTCCGGCCCTTGACTCACCGCTATTGTTCTCCCCTCGGCCGCCTCTTCCTTTTCCTCTTCCCCGGCGCTCCGGGTCCCGCGGGGCGGCTGCGGGGCCGGATATTCGGAGCTGGGGGGTCCGGGCCCCCGGCTCCCGTTTGGGTCCCCGCCGGGCTCCTGGCTGCGCATTCCAGGTCCCTCCTCTGCTCTGTTTTCACGGAGGGAAATGGGGACCGGGTGCATGGGAATGGTCACCTCGACAGCTCTGTGGCTTCCCAAACCCATCCTGCTGTCACCCCTTGGGCTCCTTCGAGTGGGAACGTGTCCCAACCAGAGCACCCCTGTTCCTCCCACCGGCCCCTCGGAGCCTCATCCTGCCCCGGGGCTCCCGTTTCCACCCAGTTTCCCTACGGAGGTACCCGGTTCCGCGGCCGTTCCCGCCGGGCTGGGGGTGCCCGGGGCGCAGGGAGGGCCCCGTCTCACCCGCCCGTTTCCCCCCTCGCAGGCGTGAAGAAGAAGACGAAAGTCATCAAGAACAACGTGAACCCCGTGTGGAACGAGGTGAGCGGCGGGCACAGCCGCCCAAGCCCTTCCCAAGCGCCCACGGCGGGAGAAGCCCCCGTCCCTGTTGGCATCCCGAGGGAGGGCTGGATGCAGCTCAACCCCATACGAGACAGCAGAGAATCCAACCAGGCCCCAGATTCTGCCATGGAAAAGGCCAGATGCAGGGATGAGCCAAGCGCTCCCGACCCGGCAGGGAGAAGGGCTGATCCTGCTCCCTGGCCCTTCCCTGTCACTGAGCATGGAGCAGGGCCGGGCACGCGGAGGAAAGGAGAACGCCGGGAATTCTGGTAGCTCCAGGGCTGTTTTATCCGTGAGGCCGCTCCCGAGGAGGAGGCTTTTCCCTCGCCGCCTTCTCCCGGCCTCGACCCTCTGTGTCCCGGTTAGCAGCGGGTCCGGTGGCCAACGCGCTGCGTTAGGTGGCTGCTCCCATCGTTCCCTCATCAGGGCTGCAAAACCACCCAAAGGGCCCTTGGCTCTTCCTTGATCCTGAGGGGAATCTCAGCTGGGAATGGTGCTAATGGGATCCCCAATGTTGCTGGGATAGCCAAGGGATCTCTGTTTTAGGGGAGCAGTTTTCCCGATAGCTGCTGCAATCTGGGACATCGCGCCCCACCGGGAGCTGCTGCGCGCGGCTCTGATCCCGGCTCCTCTCTCCTTTCTCCAGGGCTTCGAGTGGGATCTCAAGGGAATTCCCTTGGACCAGGATGCCGAGCTCACCGTGGTGGTGAAGGACCATGAGACCGTGGGCAGGAACAGGTAGGACCTTGCATGGGGGGGACAGCGGGGAGCTGCTGTGCAGAGCTGGGCACGTGCATGGATGGGTGTCCCCGTGCACGTGGATGGGTGTCCCAATGCACATGGATAGGTATCCCAGTGCACATGGGTGTCCCCGTGCACGTGGATGGGTGTCCCAATGCACATGGATAGGTATCCCAGTGCACATGAGTGTCCCCGTGCACGTGGATGGGTGTCCCCGTGCACGTGGATGTCCCCATGCACATGGATGGGTGTCCCGATGCATGTGGATGTCCCCATGCACATGGATGGGTGTCCCAATGCACATGGATGGGTGTCCCGATGCATGTGGATGTCCCCATGCACATGGATGGATGTCCCCATGCTGCGTGTCCATGCACACTCGTGCCAGGGTGGGAAGCTGCAGCCTGCCTTGCCCGTGGGTGCTCGCTCGGTGCGAGGCGGCGAGTGCCCTGTGCAGGCGGGAGGCGCCAGCCGCATTTCTGCCCTTTTTCACCCCAAAGCCGGGCCACAGAGCAGCCCCCCATTAGGGAGCAGTGCTGGGATGAGCGCGGGGCTGCCCGGCCCCTTCCCGGCGGCGGCGGCGTGGCCACGGTGGTGTTTGCACAAGGAGCAACGCGGCGCCGCTTCCTTTCTCACGGCCGCATCCGCGCGCGGCGCCGCCGCCTCCTCCGCTCCGGCCGCGCTCCCGCCTCCGGCTCCTTTCCCTGGGCTGAAGCGGCTCCTTGCTGGGGTGCCGAGCTGCTACTGCAGGAAGAGCCGTTGCAAAGGGACGGTGGGAGCCCCGCGGCTCCGCCAGCTGCCCGTGGGTGCCCTGCCATATCACAGAGTCCCAGGATGGCTGAGGTTGGCAAAGGGACCCCCAGGGATCCCCCAGCGCAGCCCCTGATCCACAGGGACACCCAGAGCTCGGGACACCCGCTCCATCCCGGCGCGGTGGCAGATCTGCAGAGCAGGAGCCTCCGCAGCTCCCTGGGCAGCCCGTTCCAGGGCAGCAGTTTTCCTGCTGGGGAGGCAAAACGGGATCCATGCTGCTCCAAATGCTCCCAGGCCGGAGCAGCTGCGGGGTTTGCTCTCGGGCAGGAGAGCTGGGTCTGATCCAGCCTGGTGACTTCGCACATCCCTATATATAGAAAAGGACAAACGGGAGAGGAATTTTGGTTCCCGAGCCAGGGAGACTTAAGTTGCTGGAGCCGGGGAGCGAGGTTTCCTTGGCTATCAGCAGCTATCTTGGTGCGTCCAGTGACCGCTGTCTGCTCCTGCTCCGTGGCCTGTTGGTGACGCGGCTTTTTGCCTTTTCTGCTGTTTGGGGAATAAAATAACCCCGTTGTGCGGGCCGCAACGCGGCTGCTCCGAGCGAGCTGCGAGGAGCAGCCCCGCTGGCGCCGCCCGCACACTCCCACTGCGGCGGGAAAGCGCCGTTTTGGGGAGAGAGAGGCCCTTTCCGTGCCGGATTGCGAGGGACATTGCGGGAGGAGGGGAGAGGACCCGCTCGGCAGCCGAAAGCTGCTCGAACCCCAGGTCTGACCTTGCAGAAGTGGCGAGGGAGGAAACAATGGCAGGAAGCCAAAAAGAAGTGAGTAAATAAATAAATCAGCCCAGCGGGAGGTTCCCAGGAGGGACCGGGGCTGCGAGCCCGGATGAGCACGGACACCACGTCCCGCTCCGGGGACACCCCGTTCACAGCGCTGGGATTCAGGGAGGGAAACCGCTGGAAATAACCAATTCCTGGGACAGGAAGGGTTAATCCCCAAAAAAATAACCCCCGGACCCAAAGAGAAAGCCGGGGTCAAGAACAAAGCCCCCGCAGGAGGCGCGGGCCGGGGATGTGGTGCGAGCCGCGCGGGCGTCACATCAGCGCTGGCCCCGGTGACTTCTCGTCCTTCCCGTCGAAGTCCCTGCGCCGTTGGCTTCTCCAGCGCTTTTATTTTTAGCGCCGCTGGCGCGGGGACGCCAGTGCTTTTTATAGCTCCTGGTTCCCGGAAAGGGCCCTTCCCTTGGAGGTGCTTCTCGTGCTGGAAGGGGAAGCCGGGCGATGGGTGCTGGAGCTGCCGTGGGCCAGGCGGGCAGCCCTGAGCCCGGCTCGGCAGGACGCGTCACCAAGCACCCGGGGGGATGAGCCAGCACCGTGGCTGCTCCCGAGCGGGTTGCACGCTTCCAGGAAGCGGGAATTCTCAGCAGCTGGGGCTCGTTGGTGTCCGAGCCGCAAGAGGGGAGATGGAAACAAGGGGCATAGGACAAGGGGCAGTGGGTGCAGGTTGAACCCCAGGAGGTTCCGTCTCCACGTGGGGAAGAACTTCCTTGGTGTGAGGGTGCAGAGCCCTGGCCCGGCTGCGCAGGGAGGCTGCAGATCCTGCTCTGCAGATCTCCCAACCTGCTGGGATGCGCCCGGGTGTTCTGGGTATCCCTGCTGGGGCAGGGGCTGGAATCAATGATCCCTAGAGGCCCCTTGCCCCCTCAACCCCCTGGGATCCTGTGCAAGGAGCCCTGGCCGCGCTGGAGCCCTTGGCCGCTGCAGCGGCTCCGTGCGTGTCGGGGCGCCGTGCTGGTGCCGACGCCGCTCTCCCGGCGCAGGTTCCTGGGAGAGGCCCGCGTGCCCCTGCGCGATGTGCTGTCCGCGCCCGGCCTCGCCGCCTCCTTCAACGTGCCCCTGCTCGACGCCAAGAAGCAGGACACGGGGGTGAGTCCCGCGCGGGGACGGCGCCCTTGGTGACCGGGGCGCACGGGCGCCTCGTGCCCAAACCGCCCCGGGTGCCGCCGCATCCCGGGTACCATGAGGTATGGGATGGCCCTGGAGCGGCGTTTCCCACAGCTCCGGAGCCTCTCCTTGCTCCTTCCCAGCAAGGAGACGCTGCCAGGAAAGTCGGGAGCGAGAGGAAGCGCCGCGCTCAGCCTGCCCTCGGCCTCACCTTCCGCCCTCCTCTTCCCCTCCCTTGGGACGAGGCGCCGTCGCCACGCGCATCCAGGGCTGCATCCAGGGCTGCTCCCGGGGGCTGTAGGCGGCAGCGGCTGCCCCAGCCCCGCGTCCCCGTGGAGGGGCCAGGGAGGCTCCGCTCGGCACCGTGCGCTGCCCGCGCCGGAGGTGTCTCCATGGCAGGAAGCGGCTGCCTTCCAATGCCGGCTCCCCCGGGGCTCTAATGGCCCCGATGGTTCCTCTTTGGCCTGGCGCTCGTCCACCCGCTGCCACATCCCAGCGCGGCGCCGCGATGCCCACGTGGCTCCTGGGAAGCCCTCAGTTCTCGTGATGCTTTCAGCCCCTCTCCTTCCCCCCTTTGCCCCCCTTTCCCCCCTTTCCCCCCTTTTCTCCCCTTTTCCCCACCTTTCCCCCCTTCTCCTAGCCTGGAGCTGCCGTTGGGTGGGAGCAGTGCCCCCCGGGCCAGCCATCCCTTCCTGCATGGTGGATCCCTGTCCTACTTCCCTCCCGCTCCGTTTGCGGAGTCGCTGCCACCTTCCTGTCCGCGTCCTCTGTGCCAGGAGTTGCCCGCGATGCCTCGGAGCAGCGTTCCTGATGCCCATCCTAACAACCTGCTCCCTTTTTCCCAGGCTTTCGTCATCCTGCAGGTGTCCTACGCGCCGCCGCCGGGAGCTGCCCCGCTCTTCCCGCCGCCCGCGCCCCCGGAGCCGGTGCCGGCGCCGGCCGCCGCGGAGCCTGACACGCTCACAGGTGAGGGGAGCCCTGCGCTCACGGCACCGGGACACCCTCATCCCTGCGCTCACGGCACTGGGACATCCCGATCCCTGTGCTCACGGCACCGGGACATCCCCATCCCTGGGCTCATGGCACCGGGACACCCTCATCCCTGCGCCCGTGGCACCGGGACACCCTCATCCCTCCGCTCCGGGCACTGGGACTTCCTCATCCCTGTGCGCTCGGCACCGTGACTGCCCGGAGCCGCCTCCTCAGCTGCCTCTTCCCCGCAGAGCCGGCCACCGAGGAGGACCTCGAGGACCAGCCCGTGACGGGCGACGAGACGGAGCCGCCGTCGGGGCCGCCGGCGGCCGAGCAGCCCGCGCTGCCCCGCAAGCCGCCCGCGCACCACGGCCTCAAGCGGAGGAAAAGCGCCCCCAAAAAGCCCCTGTCCGACAAGCCCCAGGACTTCCAGGTGAGCCGCGTCCCCCTGGGCCGCGGAAACGCTGCAGGAACCGTGCACGCTGCAGGGATGGCCCTTTCCCGCTGCAATCCCGCACGTTGCCTCTCTCCCTTCCCCAGCCTCGGGGTTTTGCAAACACAGTAACCCCTGGGAACACCCCTGGATGGGCTGAGCTTAAGGTGTCCAAGCTCAGTCTCCAACAACGAACCCTCGTCTTCGGCCAAAAGGCCCGTGGGGCTCTCGGTGCCTCCTCGTCCCCCTTGCGGCTCCAGCAGCCCGGGAGGCTCCCCCGCGTCCTCCCTCCTGCGGGGCCCTGACCCGCTGCTCTTTCCCTCTTTCCCTGCTCTTTCCCTGCTCTTTGCCTCCCCTCGGCTCCAGATCCGCGTGAGAGTCATCGAGGGCAGGCAGCTCCCCGGGGTCAACATCAAGCCCGTGGTGAAGGTCACGGCCGCGGGGCAGACCCGCAGGACCAGGATACGCAAGGGCAACAGCCCCTTCTTTGACGAGGTCAGCGGAGACTTCTGCTCGCGCTGGGCTTTGGGAAGGGCTCGGCTGTCTCATCCCCCAGCCCGCACACGATGCCACCTCACACGTCCCTCTGCCTTCTTCATTGCTCCTCTGAGAGCATTTGGAGCCCGCAGGAACATCCAGAAGTGGCTCTGCAGACAGCCACGGTGCAAGGACCTTGTGTTGGAGGAGGATGGGGCGGCCTCTTTTCAGTGCTGACCGTTCAGGGCTTTTTGGCGAAGCACCAAAAGTTCCACAGCAACTTAAGAAAACGTTTCTTAACAGTGAAGGTGTCAGAGCCCTGGCACAGGCTGCCAGGAGAGGTTGTGGAGTCTCCTTCTCTGGAGATCTTCCAAACCCGCTTGGACGCAGCCTAAGCCGTGTGCTCTGGGTGTCCCTGCATGTGCAGAGGGTTGGACTGGGTGATCCCTACGGGTCCCTTCCAACCCTAACGATTCTATGATTCCATGACCTTGCGCATCGAGATGCACAGGGAGCAGCCCCTCTTGGACACCTTCTCCAGGAGGGTTTTGCTACGCGCTGGGTGGGATCTCGTTTAGCAGGGCTGGAAAAGGGCTCTGAGCAGCAGAGCCCGGAGGTTGGGGACCCCCCGAAAGCAGGGCAGCCGCGTGGGTTGGAGCTGGGGTTGTCTGTGGCTGCTGGCAGACCTCGGTGTCGCCCGTCTCTCGTGCAGACCTTCTTCTTCAACGTGTTTGAGTCCCCGGCCGAGCTGTTCGATGCGCCCATCTTCATCACGGTGGGTTTTGGCAGCCCTCGCTGCCGGAGCTTGTCCCGTTCCCCGGCCCTGCATGTGCGGGTGGCTCTGGGCTGCGCTTCCTTGCAGAGCCGGGTTTAGTGTTGCCTGTCTTTCATGCCGCAGGTTGTGGATTCGCGGTCTTTCCGCACGGATTCAGTGATTGGGGAATTTCGGGTAAGGATTTTCCGTCTGCTCCTCCCTTGCCTTTTCGGCCGCTTTTACCCATCGCACAGGGTGAACGGTGCCGTTTGTTTTCCCTCTTGTTTTGCAGATGGATGTCGAGACGGTTTATTCTGAGCCAAGTGAGTGCGGCGGCTGCCGCAGGTGTTGGTGATCTGGGACAAGCTCAGCCCTTGCAGCCGCGGGATATTCCTCTGGGGAAAACCTTGTTGTGGGACCAAGGCGGGACATGCACGTGCACCCCCACTGCCTTGTACCTACACACGCAGGGATGCACGCACCTCCCTGCGCATTTATCTGTACTCACACGTGCGTTTATCCCTGTGCGCCTGCGCAGCTACGCGCAGCGAGAATGACAATAAACATCTACAAGCCGTACCCGCCCCGCTTGATTCCATATGTGAATCCACATATGTCGCTGGATCCATCAGCACCAGCCCTTGGCCGAGTCTATAGTGCTTATTTTCATTATTAAAACCCCAAAGCTGAGGACCAGGCTCCAGGCCAGCTCTGCACGCAGGGACGCTCACGGTTCTTGTCGTTCCTCTCCCGCAGAACACGCGTTTCTCAGGAAATGGCTCTTGCTGTCGGACCCCGAGGACTTTTCGGCGGGGGCCAAGGGCTACCTGAAAGTCAGTCTCTTTGTGCTGGGGCCTGGAGACGAAGCTCCTGTAAGTACCGGCCGGCCCTGCCCGAGACACCTTCCCGCGGCACCGCTCCTCTGCCACGGCCGGACCTTCGCACGCCGGGCCAAGGGCACAACCCGCCTTCAATGGGGCTTCCTGGTGGTTTGAGCCCACGTGCACGAGGTCACGGAGCAGCCCTGGTGCTCTTTGCAGGGAAGCCACGGCTTGCTTTGGGTCTTGCTTGGGCCTTGCTCCGCTTTCTGTAAGGAGTGGCGTGCATGGGTCACGGTGCTGGGTGCTGTAAGGAGCATCGTATGTGGGACATACATGGGACATACTGGGTGTCCTTCTGCTTGCGGGTCTCTGCTGCCCATGCCAGGGCTGTGGGAGAGGACTCGGTCCTCTCCTCCCGTCCTCATGGCTCCCGTCGTCCTGCAGATGGAGAAGAAGGAGATCTCGGAAGAGAAGGAGGACATCGAAGGGAACATCTTGCGTCCCACGGGGGTCGCCTTGAGAGGGGCTCACTTCTTACTGAAGGTCTTCAAGGCTGAGGACCTGCCGCAGAGTAAGTGCTGCCTGTGCCGGGTTGGAGCCACGGGATGGCCACGAGGGTTCGGATAGGGAGCAGCGCAGCGCGCTGCAAACAGAATCACAGAATATTCAAGGTTGGAAGGGACCTCTAGAGATCATCTAGTGATCATCTAGATCATCTCTAGCGATCAAACACCTTGTACATGCTGGCCAGCCTTTAGATACTGGGTCGTCTGCTGGTGTAGGCTGGTATTTGCCCTTCTGGGCTGGGTGGCCGTGCTGGGCACAGCAGTTCTCCCCTGGCAAGCTCAGCCTTGCTGGGGACCTGCCTTGAAGCAGTGCAGGGAGCTTGCCAGGGCATGGGGATGCAGTTTGTTATGGTGAAAAGAGCCTTATCCAGAGTGAAAAGAGCCTTATCCAGAGTCCCGGGATGAGCCTGGGCTTGCAGGGGGGATCCGGCTACTTGGAGGTGCCTCAACTCCCCTGGGAGGCTGAAACCTGCCCGCTCATGGGACCAGCTCTGGGATCTGGTGGATCTGGTGAGGGCTGGTGGGGCTTCTGTTCCCTGCTGGAATGGGACACCTCCCAGGTGCTCCTCCAAACAGCTGGGGGAGCTTCCAGCTCCTGTGCCAAGGATGGAGCCCTTTACTCAACAGGAGTGGCTGTGCTCGCCACACAGCCCTGGGAAAGCCGGAGTGCTCCGGGCCCCGGGACAGAGCCGAGGCCCTGGATGTGCTCAGCGGAGGTTTCCGCAGCCTCCGCAGGTGCTCAGAGACTCTTTCCTCTTCCAGTGGACGATGCCGTCATGGACAACGTGCGGCAGATCTTCGGCTTTGAGAGCAACAAGAAGAACCTGGTGGATCCCTTCGTGGAAGTCAGCTTTGCCGGCAAGACGGTGAGCGGCGGGATTGGGAAATCTCCCGCTTTCCAGTAACCTGCCCAGGAACATGGGCAACGGGGCCCGGACCCCCAAAAAGCCCAAGGGAATGGGAGCCTTTAATGTCAGGATGAGCCCTGGGACTGGCCTTGGTGGCCTCATCCATGCGATTCCCGTAATTCCGTGAGCACTGGGGGCTCAGCATCCTTGCTGCCCAGAAGGAATTTGGGCTCGGGATCCCGCTCGCGCCGGCTGTCATTTCCATGCTGGGCTCTTAGTGGAGCTGTTGTATTAAAAACAGCAGTGCGGAGGTTGGGCTCTCGGGACAGGGGTAGGATAAGGCAGGAGCAATTTTCCGGCCAGACCACGCTGCGCTTCTGGAAACTGCCGGGAACGGCGTTAAAATGTGGAAACTCTCCCTGTGGATCATCCCTGCAGGACGGCACGTGGGAGGGGACAGGCTAGGGAAGAAGAAGGATATTGTCCTGAGGAGATGGGGCTGGGTTCCTGGTGGCTCCGGAGTGAGCTCGGTCCTCCAGGCTGGCCCCTGGGACCCTCTTTTTGGAGTCATGGGAGTTTTCGGGAGTCTGTGTTGGGATGCAGCTGCTGAACGGCCCCTGTCTTGGGGGAACCTGAGGCTTTCTGGTCCGTGGGGACGGGAGCAGGGAAGTGTCGGGAGGGAGATGCTGGGGCCGGAGGGACCTGCCAGCCTGGGGGAGGCACGGAGAGGGATCCAGGTTTCCCCATGGAGGGGGCATTGCATCCAGGACCATGGTCCTTTCCGGAATGGAGCTTTCCTGGGAGTGGAGGAAGCCTCCTTAGTGCTGAGCACTGTCAATAAAGAGCCTTTAGGCAGAGGCACCTTTGCCGTGCGGGCAGGAGAGGGCTTGGCAGGGCGCTGGGTGCCCGGACCGTCCGTGCGCTCCGGGCACTGACTTGTCCCGCCTTTCCCCCGCTGCAGCTCTACTCGAAGATCCTGGAGAAGAACGCCAACCCGCAGTGGAACCAGACCCTCGTGCTGCCCGCCATGGTGAGGGCGACGGCGCGAGCCCGGCCGGGCCCCGGGCCACGAGCCGCCTCTCACCGCTGCCCTCCCCTTCCCCTAGTTCCCTTCCATGTGTGAGAGGATGCGGATCCGCGTCACGGACTGGTGAGCAGGGAGGTGGCACCGTGAGTGTGCGGTGGTGCCGGAGCGCGTGGTGGCACTGGGAGCGCGTGGCGGCACCGGGAGCTCGCGGTGGTGCGGGATTGAGTGGTGCCGGAGTGCGTGGTGGCACCAGGAGCCCGCAGCGGTGCCGGAGCGCGTGGTGGCACCGGGAGCCCACGGCGGTGCCGGAGCCTGTGGCGGCACCGGGAGCCTGTGGTGGTGCCGGCTTGAGTGGTGCCGGCGCGCACGGCGGTGCCGGAATGAGCAGTGGTGGAGCTCGTGGCGGCACCGGGAGCCCGTGGCGGTGCCGGATCGAGCGGTGCCGGAGCGTGCGGCGGTGCTGGATCGAGCGGTGCCGGAGCGCACGGCGGCACTGGGTGTCCGTGGCGGTGCCAGATGGAGCGGTGCCGGAGCGCGTGGCGGTGCCGGAGCGCGCGGTGCTGCCGCTGACCCGCGGGCCCTTGCAGGGACCGGCTCACGCACAACGACGTCGTGGGCACCGCCTTCCTGCGCATGTCGAGGATCTCGGCGCCCGGCGGGGAGCTGGAGGGTGAGCTGGAGCGCGCGCTGCCGGCTGCGCCTCGCGCTTGGCTTGGGAATGACGGCCGGGATGGGCCCTGCGAGGTCTCTGTGTCTCCACAAGCGGCTGCTCCGGGGCTGGGTGCAACCCGCTCCGTCCCGCGGCTTGTCCTTGCTGCTGGCCGAGGGCCGTCGCAGTGCCAGGGATGGGGGCTCGGCTCCGGCAGCGGCAGCCTGGGCTGGAGGAGGCGTCTCAAGCCCCAGCGACCCCCGAAGCGGGAGGGCCCATTCACAGGCTCCAGCAGCATCCGGGCAATGCCAACGTTGTCACCTCTGCCAGGCGTTGGGACGGGATCTGGGCCTGCTTGGGGACGTTTTGGGGCTGGGAGCAGAGGCTGCTCCAGCGCACGAGTGACGCAGGCTGCTCCGTAGCATCCTCACCCTGCCTGTTCCTCCTCTGTGTCTGTGCCCTGCAAGACTAACCCCTGGCACGAGCGCGGCTCAGAGGTGCCCAAGCAGATGCTCCGCAGGGCAGCTCCGCATGCGCAGCGTGGATGTGGGGTTTGGGGGGCACCCCGGGTGCCCCAGCAGAGCCTCGTGCCCCGCGGCTCCTCCTGGCAATGCAGCATGTGGAAGCTTGAGGACGGAGCCTCATATCTGCTCCCGAGGCCGCATTTTGCACGAGCTCTGCCGCTGTGCTGCCTCGCAGCCTCCCTTCCCTTCCTGGGGTGTCGGGGAGCCGGAGCCCGCAGCGCCCGCTCTGTCCCGCGGCCCAGCTCCTAACCTTCTCTCCATCTCTTTACGCCTCAGGCGAGTTCCCCGCTCTCGCGGAGCCCCTGAAAGCCGCACACCGTACGTGCCCGTAGCCTCTCGGTCGCGGTCGCCGCCGGGTGGTTTGCCCTCCGTTTTAGCTGCCGTTTTGGCTGCGGCCTTGGACGGAGCTGGCAGAGCAGAGGCTCTGCTGCGCCCCAGCCCGGGCGCCTCCACGCCTCGTCCTTGTCCTCCCGCCCGGCCTGTCCAAGGGCCTCTGGAAGAAGGGGTTGGTTGGGACGGGCCGAGCGGGGACGGTCCCCGGTGTCCCGCTCCGGCGGGGTCGGGGTGCCCCTTTGGGGTGGTGATGCTCAGCCAGGCTGTGTCACCATGCAGGCTCCGCAGGGCGCCCGCTGCTTTGGGCATCCCGAGGACGGGAGCCCTCTGGCCCTGGGCGCTCCGTGAAACGAGCGGGTCTGGGCTGAGCACGGCCCGACTGGGAGCGCTGGCCGAGCGCGCCCGGGGCCAGCGCCGCTTCTCCAGGAGGAGCTGGAGAGCAGAGGGGATGGAGAGCTCGGCCCGGGGCCGCTGCCCTCTCCTTGGGCTGGCTGGAGGAGTGCAGCTTAACAAGGCGCCGCTCAGCAGTGGCCCCGATGGGCGCCGATGCTGCGGGACGTCAGCAAGCTGCACGAGCTGGTGCAGCGGCAGCGGCCCCGTGACGTGGCCCGGCAGCGCCCATGAGACGGGGTGGGGAGGCGCCGGTCCTGCCTCGCTAACCGCTCTTTCCCTGTGGTCTCCAGTGGACGATGGACTCGGGTTCCTGCCCACCTTCGGCCCCTGCTACATCAACCTCTACGGCAGCCCCAGGGAGTTCACCGGCTTCCCGGACCCTTACGAGGCGCTCAACCTGGGCAAGGTGACGGAGGCTCCTGGGGCCTCGAGGAGCATCCTCGGCTCCTCGAAACACGGAGCATCCTTGCGTGCCAAGCGAAGGCTGTTGCTAACCCGAGGAGGCTGCCCTGCGTTCCCTGCCACTAGTTCCTCCTGCTGCCTTAAACCTGCCGGGCTCCCGGCTCTGCTCCCCGCCTTGAGCTTGCAGCAATAGGTCGCTTGCAAACCGGGGGCCCGGGGCTCCCGCGAGGCCGCCCCCCTGCTCCTAACAGCGGCCTCCGGCCTCCCCCAAGGGCGAGGGCGTCGCGTACCGGGGCCGGCTGCTCGTGGAGCTGCAGACCAAGCTGGCGGAGCATGCGGAGCAGAAGGTGGAGGACATCCCCGCCGAGGACGTCGTGCGCGTGGAGGTAGCGGCGGGCAGCGCCCCGGGCGGCGGGCGCGAGGCCGTTCCCGCGGCGCCGTGGCCTCCCCTCGGCCCCTCTCGCAGAAGTACCTGCGGCGCAGGAAGTACTGCCTCTTCGCCGCCTTCTACTCGGCCACCATGCTGCAGGACGTGGACGACGCCGTCCAGTTCGAGGTCAGCATGGGCAACTACGGCAACAAGTTCGACACCACGTGCCTGCCGCTGGCCTCCACCACGCAGTACAGCCGGGCCGTGTTCGACGGTGAGCGGGGCCCTCGTGGGGGTCCTCTCCAAGCCCCTTAGTACAGCGGTGCTGCAGAGGAGCCGCCCGTGCCCTCATCCACGCCCGTGTCCGTGCTTCCTTGGCCGGGTGATTGGGGTGGTCTCCTGGGCGCTCCCAGGGGTCCAGCCTTTGGACCTCTGCAGTTGATGGTGGGACCTGCGCAGGGAACTGGGGGCTCCTGGGTCCAGCTCGTGCTGCCTCCTGTCCTCGCTGCGAGGTAGGGAGCAGCGCAGAGGTCCGTGCGTGTCCGTTTGGACCGTGCTAAGCGCTGTGTTACTGCATGTGGGGCTCGGGAAAGATGATCCACGTCATCCTGCACACGAGCAATGCCCGGGGCTCCGCGTTCCCTGCGCTCCGGCGCGGGGATCCAGCCGTCCCTCCTCCGTGTCCTCCAGGCTGCCACTACTACTACCTGCCCTGGGGCAACGTGAAGCCCGTCGTGGTGCTCTCGTCCTACTGGGAGGACATCAGCTACCGCATGGACGCGCAGAACCTGCTGCAGCACGCGGCCGAGCGCCTGGTGGGTCCCGCGGCGCCCGCGCTTCCCCTTCCCATTAACGGTCCCAGGGGAGCCCTGCCAGCGCCCAGCGCGGCCGGGCACCTGCCCTGCCATGGGGAGAAGGAACTGGAGAGGAGAAAGGGAAACTGAGGCACGGAGAGCGGCCGGAGCAGAGGGATGAGCCTGGGGGTGTGGGTTGGACCCATGTGGTGTGGATATCCGTCACCTGCATATTGCTCTTGCTGGTGTCCCTGGTGTTGTCAGGACTGGGCTGGGGCTCGTGCTGCGCCCATGGGACAGGAGAGGGGCTGCAGAGCCCGGCTTTGCTGGCTGCGGGAGAGAGGGCCCTTCCTCGGCCCGGAGCAGCTCCGGGGAAACCTGCTGCAATTCCCAGCTTTTCCCCGCTGCGGGAGCTGCAGCAAGGAGCAGAGCGGGGGCTGCGGTGGCGGCGCTGGGCGCTCGTGGCCACCAGCAGGAAGGTGCAGGGAGGAAGGTCGGGGCTGCGGGAGCGGCTCCGCTCCGTGTCCCCCGTGTATCCTGCCCTCCTCCCGGCGCTCCGTAGGAAGCCAACCTGGAGAACATCCGCGTGGCGCTCAAGGCCAACCGCTCCCCGGGCGACCTGGACGCGCTGCTTGCCCAGCTGCTGGACGACCTCATCGCCGACTGCAGGTACCTCCTGCCCGCCTCCCCGGGAGCCCCTTCCAGCCTCTCTCTGTGCAAGAACAGTTATTTACGTGGGAAGGGATGACTTCGCTTTTTTTTTTTTTTTCTGTTTTTAGTTATTTATTTATTCTCAAAAAGGCCAGTCGTTTGCTAATGTTTACTTCAAAGCTTGCCGAGCCAAGGCACGGAGTTGAAAGGGTGACATTTAAAGCGAGGCATAAATTTGCACCCTTGCATCTTGGCCCACCTGAGTGAGCTTCATTGTCCAGCAAGGGAAGCCCTCACCCAGGGCCACCTCGTGTTCCTCCTTCTCCAGGGAGGTGCCACCCTCAAATACACACTTCCAGTGGTGTGACCTGGGCTTGGCCACCCCGTGTTGTGCTCTTGGCCCATAGAATGGGGAGCTCTGGAGCATCTTTGGCTTTCGGAGCTGTTCTGAAGCGCTTGAAGCTTCACGACAGGGTCAGGATGGTCCTTCCTTTGAGAAGCATCGGGCTCGGTGGGAGCTGAGGAACCACCGTTTGGCCATCCCGTTTTATTCCAAGGACACCTTGGTTCTCCATGGAAATTGGTTTGGGGGGTTACCTCGTTGGGAGCCTTCAACTGTGGTTCCCCTTCAGCTCTGAGCGTATCTCCATGTGGAGGGGAGCTGGTGGCCACCAAGCCGCTTTGCTGCTGTGCGGGGTGGGTCGTGGTCCTTCTTGTCAGGAGAGAGCGGGAACGTGGCCCCCTTGGCTGTCCTGCATGTTCCGCGGGCCCCGAGAGCCGCCCCTTCCATGATGCTGGGACACTCGGTCCGCCCTGCTCCCCCGGGGATGGGAGGGCTGCTGCTGCACCCACTGCCAGGGTGTCGCGTCCCTCCTCCCCACGCTCGTTGAAGGACCCGGAGGTGAACCTCCCTGCTCCGTGCCGAGCTCCCGCGGCTCCTGCTTCCCTGGGAGCAGCAGCCAGCGCCGGGCTGTGCCGTGACGGTGACGTCCCATTGCGGGCGCTCTTGGAGCTTCCCTGGCCTCGTGCCCTGTTGTCCCCTCTGCTGCTGGGCACCTGAACCCTCTGCCAAGAGCTGCTCTTGCCCCGGCCTCTGCCAACGCGTGGGAGCATTGGGAGCGTGGGAAGTGCCACGGACAGGAGCCGGGCAGGAAACCGGGACAGTCAGGAGGCTGCGACGGAGTCTCCGAGCGAGCCCGGCCCTCGGCGAGCCGCTGGGATCCATCCCAGAACCCGGCTCGTCTTTCTGCCATGCAGGTGGCTCTGGTGCAGCATCCCAGGGGACAGCGTCCCGCTGCCTCCGTGCTTCTCACAGAGCGGCCCCGGGACCTCCTTTCCCTGCTGCTTCCCTGCAGGACGAGGCGGAGGACCCCGGCCCTGCCGCTCCATGGCTGGTGCCCCTTCCTGGCTTGGCATTGGCATTGGCGTTGGCCGTGGCGGGCCCCAGCCCAGCCCCTTCAGGCTTCCCATCGTTCAATCAGGAAGCTCAGCATCCTTGATCCTGCCTAGCAATTCCTGCCCGAATTACTTGGGATTTGCTGCTCTTTGCTCTCTGTCTTCCAAGTCTTCTGCCTTTGATGCAGGAGAGATCCCCTGCGGAGACAAGTCCCGGCCCAAGGCTCCTTCGTGTCAGACGCCCATTCCGAGAACCGGGCCACTTGATTTTACTATGAGAAATGCTTCTCTCAGTCACTTTCTTGCAGTTATAATATCCGCTTGAAAAGGGGCATTATTAGTTTTTTAATGCTTTCAGTGTTTATTTCCCCAACTTTTTTTGGACTCGCTTTGTTGTGCTTTCAGCATTTAATTTGCTAAAGCCTGTTCTTTTTTTCTTTTTTTTTTTTTTTTCCAGTTTGAACACGGCTTTGTTTAATCGGTCGGGGTTTTACAAGTCTCCCCTTGGCCCAGGGCACACGTGTTCTCTCATGCAGGGTGCTGGTCGCGCACCGCCCGCTAGCTTTAACCCGTGTTAAAGTTAAAACTGCTCCTCCTTCTTGCAGCTTCTGACCAAGTTTGCTCCTGTCGGGGCAGTGCTAGAGGAAAGAGACCTACCTCTTCCCAAGGATAAATCGGAGGTTGTACTTGAGAGAGAGGAAAGAGAAGGAAGCGACCCCTTCTCCTACCTGGCTGGGCTCTCTTGCTAGAAACAGCCACGTTACTGAGCTTTTATGTAGAAAATCACAATTTTGTTTGCAAGTTAGTCCAGAAGAAGTCAATAGCATGAGGCAACCTGCACAGACCCTCTCTTTGTTTGTGGAATGCTGTTTTTGCTGACATGGTGCAGAACGTCCCACCTCTCCTTTTCTCTTTCCATCCTACCTGGGCTCCCTGCTCTGTGTTGATAACGTGGCTTTAAGGGCCTCGTGTGGACAGCAGGTCCTCCTGTGCTGGGCACCGCCTGGGGCCGTGGGGTAGCAGGCAGCGTAGGGATGGCTTCGTGGTTGTGTTTTGAAGGGCTTTTCCATAATGATCCCGTGATCTCCAGCGCGTCCGTCTTGGAGAGCCGAGCCAAGCTCAGGCAGGGCATGCCCCAAGCGTCTCCGTTGGGAGCCGCGAGCCCCGGCGGGTTCCTGACGCCGGCGTGTGCGCTCCCCGCAGGCAGCAGCTGCCCGACGTGGCGGGGCGGCCGAGCAGCACCCAGCTGGACCAGCAGCTGCACCGCCTGCGCGGCGCGCACCTGGAGCGGGTGCTGCGCGCCGCGCTCCGGCTCAAGCACGAGGAGGGCGCGGGCCTCGGCGCCGCGCTCGAGGAGGCCGACGAGTGGCTGGGCCGCCTCCGGGCCGTGGCCGAGGAGGTAACGCTGCGGCTGGACGCGGGCGGCGGCGCGACGCGGGCGGCTTCCCCGTCCCATCGCGACCAGCAGAGCCTAGGGGTGACCTGCTGGGGGGCAGCTCTTGGGGGTCCTGGGGACACCAAGGTGCCCGTGGGGCAGCWGSGCCYGGTGGCCAAGGAGGCCAATGGGCTCCTGGCTGCATGGGCAGGACGTTGGCAGCAGGGCAGGGAGGGATCCTGATCCTGCCCCTCTGCTCAGCCCTGGGGAGCCCAAACCTGGAGCACAGGGGGCAGCTCCGGGCTCCCCAGGACCGGGGGGACGGGGAGCTGCTGGAGAGGGGCCAGCGCAGAGCGACAGGGATGGGGAAGGGCCTGGAGCAGCTCGGGGGAGCGGAGCCCGAGTGAGGCTGGCGAGGAGGAGGCCGAGAGGGCCCTGGTCAGTGTGCCCGCGCACCCGAGGGGAGGACGGAGGGAGGAAGGGCCGAGCTCTGCTCCGGGGTGGCCGGTGCCAGGACCAGGGCCAGTGGGTGCAGGTTGGACCCCGGGCAGCTCCATGTGCCCGTGGGGAAGAACAAGGTGACTGTGAGGAGGGTGCCCAGCCCTGGCCAGGCTGCAGATCCTGCTCTGCAGATCTGCCAACGCGCCGGGATGGAGCGGGTGTCCCGTGCCCTGGGTGTCCCTGTGGAGCAGGGGCTGCGCTGGGGGATCCCTGGGGGTTCCTGCCAACCTCAACCATCCCGGGACTCTGCGAAACCTGGTGGCAGCTCCTGCACTGGGACATGCCCCAGCTGGTGGAGACGGGTGGCACATCTGGGGCTACTTGACACCCAACCGTGCCGCGCCGCGCGCCCCCGGCCTGCCGACCCTTTCCAAAGGGCGTCGCGAGGGGCCTCGCGCTTCGAGCATCCCGCGCGGGGCCGGGGCGGCTGCGGGGCTCCCCGCTGCGGCGCCCCTCAGCCCGCGCTCCGCTCCCGCAGCCGCAGAGCAGCCTCCCGGACGTGCTCATCTGGATGCTGCAGGGCGAGCGGCGCGTGGCGTGCGCCCGCGTGCCCGCGCACCAGGTGCTCTTCTCGCGCCGCGCCGCCAGCTGCTGCGGCAGGAGCTGCGGCAAGCTGCAGACCATCTTCCTCAAGGTGCGCCCCGCCGCCTGCCCAGCCCTCCTCCCCGCCAAAACACCCCCAAAAACAGCCCCCAAAATAAAGGGGAAATGGGCAAACCTGCGCTGGGGAGGTGTGGGGGGGTTGGTTCCTCTCCCACTGGAAGCCCTGAGTTAGATTCCCATGGGAATGCGATTATTTTCAGGCAGTGCCAGGGCGGCAAAGGCGAAGTTGGCCAAACCACTGCGCCTTTCTTTTTCTAATTTTGATTTTAATTTATTTTTATGCTCCTTCAAAATTCCTGACCCTCTGCCACCCCAGGAAATCTAAGCCGTAGCCGCCCTTGCCAGGCACTTCCAGCACTTCTCGTGTCTCCAGTGATATTTCCCTGGCCTTTTGCTGCACGCCAGCTTGGGAGCAGGCAATCGGTGCTGAACAAGCTCTAAAAAACCAAAATGAAGTAAAACAAACCAAAGAAACCTCCCAAACCCGAGCCCAGCTGGCAGCAAAAACAGAAATAAAATATATTCTTTTTGTGTGTTTTCCCCTGCAATTTAGCTCTGGATGGAAAACTAGCGTCACGTTAGGGTGGGGGGGCAGGACGCAACCCAGCAAGGCATCTCCCTGCTTGTTCCCCGGCTTTTGCCCAAGGATTTTGGCTGGTTTTGGTGCTTAGCGTTGAGGGTGGTTGGTGGCCGGGCGCGCGGTGCCCCTGGGCTTTGCGTGCCTCAGTTTCCCCCGTGGCCATGTGGGGCAGGGCGAGTGGGACGTGGCGCGGGGCGGCTCTTTGCATTGCCCATCCCGGCCCGGCCGCCTCTCTCCATCCCGGCGCTCCGTCCCGGCAGTACCCGCAGGAGGAGGCCATGGGCGCCCGCATCCCGGCGCAGATCCGCGTGCGCCTCTGGCTGGGGCTCTCCGTGGACGAGAAGGAGTTTAACCAGTATGCCGAAGGGAGGCTCTCCGTCTTCGCCGAAACCGTGAGTGCCGCCGGGACCTGCCCGGCCCCGTGCAGCAGGAGCAGCCCTGGGATGCAGCCCTCCCAGAGGGACAGGGTTTTCCACGCATCTGCGCTCCCGCCAACACGTCTCCGCTTTCCCTATCCCAGTATGAGAACCAGACCAAGCTGGCGCTGGTCGGGAACTGGGGCACGACCGGCCTGACTTACCCCAAGTACTCGGACGTGACGGGCAGGATCAAGCTGCCCAAGGACAGTTTCCGCCCCTCGGCGGGCTGGACCTGGGCCGGCGACTGGTTCATCAGCCCGGAGAAGACGTGAGTGATGGCTCTGAGCGCTGGGGACAGCACCCGGGTGTCCCCAAGGGCCGAGCACCCGTCGTGAGGTGCCCAGGGGTACCCCGAAACGGGGCTGGTGCCTCGCGGGGCGCAGCGCTGCCTCTTGCAGCACGATGGTGTTAATGCAGCGTGGGTGCCGGTGCCGCGCGGGACGGGGCGCCGCTGAGGCCGCCGCGTGTCCCCGCAGGCTGCTGCACGACGCGGACGCCGGGCACCTGAGCTTCGTGGAGGAGGTGTTCGAGAACCAGCTGCGCCTGCCCGGTGGCCAGTGGATCCACATGTCGGACGCCTACACGGACGTGGTGAGGAGCCGGGCACCGGGAGCGGGAGCAGGCGGCACCCGCGGTGCCCCCTGGGGAAAGGGGCAGCTGGGCTGGTCCCTAGGGGCAGGTTGTCTCTAGGGGCAGGTTGTCCCTAGGGGCAGGTTGTCCCTGGGGCCCGGGGCTCTGGGAGACGTGGGGAGCTGCTGGGCATGGTATGGTTAGAAACGCTGCTCCGTCCCACAGAACGGAGAGAAGGTGCTGAGTAAGGAGGAGATTGAGTGTCCGCCGGGCTGGAAGTGGGAAGACGTGGAGTGGGACACCGACCTCAACAGAGCTGTGGACGAGAAAGGTACCGGGCAGAGGCGCTGGGTGCCCGCGCTGTTTCCCTGTTCCCATCCCCTTCCTTTGCACCGTGGGGAAGGAGCAAGGCTGTTCTTTCTTTGGAAGAAGGTGGCAGGCCAGAGACCATCCGAAACAGTCACAATTCGACCACGCTGGTCCAGGGTTGGCACCTTGGCTCCATCCCCTGGGCATCCTCACATGTTGGCCACCAGCGATGGTGGCTTCTTATCTCTGTGGATCAGCAGGCCGGGAAAGCTCGTTAGATCCGTGTCCTGGAGAACGAGCTTGGCCCTAGGAATCCATCCCAACCTGGAGCATGCGTAGGGAGAGGTCCCGGGCGGGAGGCCAAGCAGCAGAGCTCCCTGTCCCACCTCACCCGGGTGTCCCCTGCTTGCCAGGCTGGGAATACGGCATCACGATCCCGCCGGACCGCAAGCCCAAGGCGTGGGTGCCCGCCGAGAAGATGTACCACACGAACCGGCGGCGGCGCTGGGTGCGCCTGCGCCGCCGCGACCCCGCGCAGCTCGACGCCGCGCGCAAGGTAGGACGGCACCGGGCCGGGCCGGGCCGCGCGGGGACCCGGGCTGCTTGTCCGGGGGGCTCTCCTGGCCGCCGTGTTGGGTCGTTCCTACCCGGCCCGCCCTTGGCCTCCCTCTAGGTGGTGCAGTCGGACTGCACATGTCCCTGCAGCGCGGCCGCTGCCCCCCAGGGCACCTCTGCTCCCCCTTTTCTCCTCCTCCGGGGCTGTGGATGGAAAGCAAGGGGGGACCCCGGCCACGCGGGGCCCCAAGGGGCAGGAGAGCGGAGCAGGGGCGCCCTGGCGCCCATCACCGAGGGGAAGCGAGCAGCGCGGGGAGGTCCCCGCGTGCCACCCGCCTGCGGGGACACCTCCAGGAAAGACCCCGTCACCGGCCATTGTGGCCACGGAGGGGAGGTTGCCCAGGGCTCCCAGGCTGGTGGCCGAGCTGGGCTGGCCCGGGAGCAACCCGTAGGGAAGGGAGCCCCAGCCCAACAAGGTGGGCAGCGCGCGTGGTGGGGCTCCGGGAAGGAGCCGGTGCTGCGGTCCCCAAAGTGTCCCCTCCTGGGACCTGCTCCGGCTGCGTTCCCATTGCTCCGGCTGCGTTCCCACCGCTCCGGCTGCATTCCCACCGCCCCGACCTCTGTGCCCGCAGCGCAGGCAGGAGGAGCTGGCGGGCGAGGGCTGGGAATACGCGTCGCTCTTCGGCTGGCGCTTCCACATGAAGTACCGCAAGACGGACACGTTCCGGCGCCGGCGCTGGAGGCGCCGCATGGAGCCCTTGGAGCGCACGGGCGCCGCCGCCGTCTTCGCCTTGGAGGGGGCCCTGGTAGGTGCCGGTCGCTCCCGGCCGTTCATCCCCACGGGCCGTCCCTGGGGGGCATCGGTGGTCCCTTCCCAAGGGCAGGATGGTCCCTGTTTTCCTTGGTTGTCCCGGTTTTCTGCTCCTGCGATAAGCTCCGGCCAGGAGTGCCTGCCCATCCCGCCGCCCAATTCCCAGAGCAGGGATCACGCGCGGAGGAAACCACGCTATCTGGAGCCTCCACCTTCTGTTATTTGTTTTGCTAGTACCCTGGCCGCCTCCTTACGGGGTTTCGTAATCACCGGCGTTTCCAGGAGCTAGAGCAACCCCGGCAGCACAAAGACCCTTTTATGGGCCCTTTCCCCCCGTTTGGCCTGTTCCTCGTCGTGCTCCGCGCCGGCCTCGCGCTGCAGAGCGGGCACCCCCAGTCCCTAAGCCGGGTCTGCACCCGAGCTTTGGGTTTTCCCCACGTAAAACACCCGAGAAGCCGCCGGTGGCAGGGCCACCCGTGGTGACGTTTGCCAGAGGTCCCCAGCAGGTCCCCAGCAGGTTTGCAGCAGGTCCCCAGTCTGACATGGGGCTGCCAGGCGGGAAGAGCAGTAATTGTGAGCGCCAAGGGGCGGCCCCTGCCCTGACGGCAGGAATGGCGCGTTGGGCCGGCGTCCTTGCGGGGACACTGCCCCGGAGGGGACAGTTGCTGTGCTTGCCAAGCCAGCGAGTGGCCCCGGCTCCGGCCGTGCCCGCTGCCGTGCCCGCTGCGTGGCTCTTGGGGCCTCCCGTTGCACGGCCAGCGTTGCGCAGGCTCCGTCGTACGTCCAGCAGGACGAAGGGAGGACGCCTAGAGCTAGGGAGGTGCCTCCTGCTGCCCGTTGACTCCAGAAACCGGATCCCGAAGCAGGATCCTTTTCCATACTCACCCTCTCCAAGCCCTTCTTCGCAGCCTTTAGCTGCTCAGAGGGGTCTGCTCGCGAGCCCCTCATTGCCCACGAGCGAGGAGCATTGGCACCAGCCTCAGGATACCTGCATGGATCCCGTGGTTGCGAGGACAGTTTGGGGGCGCGGGGAGCCTTCCCCGTGCGGGATGCACGCGGTGCCGGGAGCTGCGCGCCGCGCGGACGCCGCCGCGCTCCTCACAAGAACCGAGCCGCCGTCGAGCTCCCCGCGCCGCCGCCTGCCCCACGGCCCTGCGGACACGGCGCGGACCCAACGGCAGCCCTTTAAACGCTCGGCGTGACCCAACTGTCGTAAATGGAGCGCGCCGCAAACCCCGGGGCTTCCTCTGCACACACCGTCACGGTGATGGCAATTCCTGCCGGGAGCGCTTGGGAAAGGCTCCTCGGACCACCTAAGTTCTTGACGGTTTTTTGGGACCGAGCAGCTCCCGGCTCTGGAAGTTCCATCCCAGCCCCGCTTTTTCCCTTCCTGTCCCTTTTTGCAATATCCCCACCGTCTCCCCCTAACGTCTGATAATTGAAAGTATTTGCCCCGCGAGCAGGGCGATGAACTGGCGCTTTGTGGCAGGGCTTTTATGGGGTCGGGGGGCCCGTGCGCGTGGGCTGCTGGGGGCTGCGGCTCTTGGAAGCCCCAAACCCCCTTGGATTTCTGTAAAAAACAATCCCTGCGTTTCCCTCTGCTCCTCCTGGGGGACAGGGAGGGACCGGGGTCCCCGAAGGGCCCCAACGCACCCGACGCCGCATCCCGTTCCTTGCAGGGGGGAGTGACCGATGACAAGAGCGACGATGGCAAATCCGCCTCGACCCTCAGCTTTGGAGTCAACAGACCCACCATCTCCTGCATTTTCGACTGTAAGTCTGTGCAAGGGCGGGGAGATTCCCACGCTGTCCCGGGAGCTGCTCCCGCGGGCGCCCTGGCCGGCGGCTCCCCGCTGGGTGCTCAGCCCGGATCCCGCTGAGCCGCTCCCGTTTCCCGCGCGCAGACGGGAACAGGTACCACCTGCGCTGCTACATGTACCAAGCTCGGGATCTCATCGCCATGGACAAGGACAGCTTCTCAGGTGAGCGGAGCCGCATCCCGGCCCCGCGCGCGGCTCCAAGGGGCTCCCTGCGCTGCAGGGGTTCCATGGCACCTCCGGGTGCACGGGGCTCCTGGGGCTGGTGACACTTCTCTCTGTCCCCGCTGCGTCTCTTTGTCACCCGCAGATGCGGCCACATCTGCACAGGATGGGGCGAACCCATCCATCCCTTGCGTGGGAGAGGGTCCCACCGCAAACCCTCCTCTTGCTCTCTTTTCCCTTTGCTTAGCAGAGCCGGGGGCATTTGGACAGGGAATTTCTCTTCCCGAGTCCGGCCCGGGTGCTTTTATGGTGACAAAATCCAGGGGAACGGGCAGAAGCGGAGCGTGCTGAAACGGGAGGGAGGAGGGACATAGGAGGGTTGTCCTTTCCATGGCCTCCTTGCTCCCCTCTGCCCACCCTCCTCTTCCTCATCACCTTGCAAGCCGGGAACCTTGTGCTCCATTTATTGTGCATGAAAGAACTGATTGAAAAACAGGGCCAAGAAGAAAGCGACGGCTCTGTAAAATGGCTCGTATTTGTTTTCATTGCCAAACATTGAACTAGGGCAGCTTCTCCGTTATCCGGCCTGGGACGGGCTCCACGGCTCCTGTCTCTGGAAGTGGCCACGCGGGAAAGGGGAGACGTTCCTGCCGAGGAAGCTCCCAGGTCCTGGCTGGGAAGCCGGGTCGGGAGAGGAGCGCCGGGTGGCTCCGTGCCGGGGGCGGCTCTGGTTTCAGCTGGTGGGAGCCGAGCACGGACCCCCATTCCCACGTGGCCACTTCCAGAGATGGGATCCGTGGAGCCTGTCCCACATGGGCAGCGCCAGCACCCGGACACAGGCTGGGATGCTGCAGGGACTCCCATCCGCAGAGCTTTGCGTGCGGCTCCTTTGCTCCTTGTAAGTGCCCTGTACCCACCGCCCGTGCCAGTGAATGCTCATGGGTGCCATTTTGGGGTGAAAAGCAGGGAAACGGGAACGTTGCTTCTTGGAGCAGGGCTTGGAGCTTCTCGGAGCTCCAAGGGAGCTGCTTGGAGCCGTCGCTGGCCCCGCGGCTGCATCCGGGGTGCCAGGAGCGCCCGGGAGCCCTGGTGCCGCCTTCCCTTTGGAGCGCGGGCAGGAGGGACCCCGCGTCCCTGCACCCCGTCACCTCCACAAAGGGGCGGTTGTTGGGAGCAGGGGGGACGGGGGGGGTCTCCTGGCCCCCGTTGCGGAGCGGGACGCGGAGCCGCTGCCCCTGGAAGAGCCCGGCCAAGGACAACAGGAGCACCGCGGCGCTACAATGTGCGCTTGTGATCCGCGCTGCCCCGACAAAGCGCGAGGGAGGTCAGGAAGGGGCTTTGCACAGCCAGAAAAACAAACCTGCCTGCGCACCAGGGCCCAAACAAAGGGGCTTTATGGAGGCTCCTTTCAAAACAGGAGGGAAAAAAAAAAAATGAAAAAGCAAATCCCAATCCATGCTTTTTTTGTTTATTGTAACGCATTCTGCTTTGCTCTAGCTGGAAAAAAGCGCCGAAGTGGGAAAGGTTGTTCCCGGTGTGAAGGGAGCTGCCTGCAGCGCGCCGTGCGCGGAGCCCCGCTCCTTCCCCGCCTCTGATCCGGCGGGAGAACCGCGCGATCCCGCGGGAGGCGGCAGGGCGCCCCGTGCCCAGCCGGGACCCCCCGTGGGCACCAGCCTGGCCTGGCGCACTGGGCACCGCGCAGGGGGTCCCCACGTACCCCGTGGGGCTTGCGGGACCCCCGCTGATGCGGAGCGTGGGATTGGGGGGAAGGTTGGGATTTGGGGGGAACTTGGGATCTGGGGGCAGTCGGAGTCCGCTGAGGACCAGGCACGTGGGACATGGTGGTCCTGCTCACCGGTTCCCAGTAAGGACCAGTAGATGCCGTAAATCTACTATAGACTCACGCTAAAAATTCACTTTTGCTGCTGCAAAAGGCAATAAAAGGCATTTAGCCTTCGCAGGGTCTAACAAGGAGCCCGGGGATGCATGGAGCCCCTTGACATGGGCTCTGCGACCACCAGAGCAGCCTCCTCCCAGCTCCTGGTCCTCGGATGCACCTGGGAAGGAAGGCCCCATGTCTCAGGGTTCTGCTGTTAATTGACCTCAGGCTTCCTCTGTTAATTGCTGTGCTAATTAAAGACGGCCTCTCCATCTGTGGTGGCTGCTGGAGGCTAGGTGGTCACTTGGGCTTTCCAAAGGTCTCCCTAGAGGAGACCCCCTCCAAGGAAAGGAGGTGGCCATGGGCTTTTGTGTGGATCAACAGCCGGAGCTGCTTGGGCTGCTGCAGTTGCCCCAGAGCGAGCTGCCATGAGCACTGGTCTGTGATGGTCCTGTGTGAGGAAGAGCTCGGGGGCTGAGGCTCTTCAGCTTGAAACCCAGCTAATTTAGGGGTTGGGGCTTGGTGGAAAGCTGCAGGGTCCTGGGGGTGGGTGGGTGGGCTGCTGCTGCTTCCCTCTTCTGCTGCAGACCCCAGGGGCTCTGGGGAGGCAGCAGGAGCCAGGGCCAGTGCAAACAGGAGATGTTCTTCATGCAGCTTTAAGCTCTCTCCAGGGACGTAGTTCGGGTGGTTCCGGGGAGGCAGGACAAAGCCATGGAGAACAAACTTCTGGAGGGGGTTGCTGAGCTGAGGGTGTCACCTGCGGCTCAGGGAGGGCTGGTACAGCTGGGGTGTTGGGGTGGGCGTCGGAGAGCCCGTCCTGACCTGCTCCTTGGGGTTAGCTCGTGGCCAGGGTAAGGGGCGGGTGGATGCGGAGATGACCCGATGCCCACCCGCCATGTACCTTCCTGTGTCACTGTCTGATGGGGCACTGAGGCCCATGCCCAAGGGAAGGAGCTCGTGCGGAGCCCGGCAGCCCCAGCTCCCGTGGGAGTCAAAATTCCCGCTTCCCACCCAGAGCACAGGGCCCCGAACAACGCAGGAGTTCCCCAGATCCGTGTCGAGGGCAGAGCTGAGGACAACGTGTCTTTGCGTGTGTCTTCACTCCAAGTTATCCAGTCGCTGTTGGGCTCCTCAGCACTTCCCATGCCCAAGGACCTTGGGAAGCTGCTTGGCCTCCAAAGCAGATGGTTACTTCGGTCGGAGTTGCCTGGGACACGGTGGGAATGCCGCTGCTCTAAAGACCACCATGTCCCTCAGCCTGCTTGCTGCCTTCCCAGCACAACCTGCTGGCCCTTGCATCACAATTAACAACCCTCCTAATTGCCCTCTCCTTAGACTGGTAGCTCAGAATCATCCTTAACACTCTGCCCAACGTCTCTTGCAGATCCTTATGCCATCGTCTCCTTCCTCCACCAAAGCCAGAAGACGGTGGTGATCAAGAACACCCTGAACCCCACGTGGGACCAGACCCTCATCTTCTACGAGATAGAGATCTTTGGGGACCCCCAGACCGTGTCCGAGTGCCCTCCCAGCGTCGTGGTGGAGATCTATGACCACGACACCTACGTAAGTGCGTCGCGGGGAGCGGGGCCCTTGGGGATCGAGCGGGCTGAGGGCAGATGTGATGAGCAGAGGAGCTCTAATGTCACCATACGTCCCTGGAGGCCCTGCTTGCGCTCTCCAAAGAGCTGCTGATACCTGATGTTTTACTCGGAGCTCCTGTTCTGGGAAGCTGTGTGAAACCATAGGAATCTCAGCTGGTGCTGAAGCAAAACGCACAAAAAAGATCCTTTCTAGCCCTTGTAGTAACAAAAAAGGAAAGTCTGAGTTTGCAAAGGCACCCGGAGAGCTTGTCCTGGAGCTGAGCACACGGCAGTCCCCGGGGTGAACCTCAGCTGTGTCTGGGTGCTGCAAAGGGGGTGACGTCCCGCGGGCCGGTCCGAGCCCCCCTGTTCTTGCACCCCACACAGGGCGCCGACGAGTTCATGGGGCGCTGCGTCTGCAAGCCCGGGGTGCTGCGCGCCCCGCGCCTCTCCTGGCACCCCGTCCTCAAGGGCGGGCGCAACGTGGGCGAGCTGCTGGCCGCCTTCGAGCTCATCCAGCGGGAGAAGGTGAGCGCTGCGCCCCGGTGCCCCGCGCCGCGCTCGCCCTGCCGCAGCGCCGCTCCCGCTGCCTCCCCTGCGCTTCCCCGGGGAATGCCGCTCCTGGGGGATGCGGCTGCGGGACGGGACGCTGGGTGCATCCCGCAGTGCTTGTGCGCCGAGGCTGGGAGCGCTCGGAGCCTCGGCACCTCCACGCTGCGCTCGGAGCCCCGCGCGCTCGGCCCCGTGATGCTGCCCGGTGCTCGGACACAGAGCTCATTTCCGGAGGGGATTTACGAGCGCTCGAGCCGGCGGCCGAGCTCGGCGCTGGCTGCTGCCGCAATGAGCCGCGGGGCAGCCTGGCTGGGAGGCGGGAGAGGCTCCTCTCTGCACCCCGTGTCCGTCCTCCCGCTCGGTACCTTCCCACCGTCGCGCTCTCCATGCGCACACGTGTTTTCCTCCTTGGGGATTTGCCGGGGGCCAATTCTCCTGCTGTTTCTCCCTCGCAGCCCTGGGGAGCGGATGGGGAGGGAGGAGGCTGGTGCGGGTCCCGCCGGTGCTGCTCCCGTGAGGATGCTCCCCACGGGACGCGGCGCTCCTGGGGCGTAAGGAGCCGCTGCCCGAGCGGCAGCCTCGGCTGTGGCGCCGGGGGGCAGGTTGGGGTGCCCAAACTGAGGGTGTGTTTGTTCCTCAGCCTGCTGTCCATCACATCCCCGGCTTCGAGGTAAGGCGGCCGCGAGCGCGTCCTGGCCCTGGCCGTGCTTCTCCGCAGGATCCCACCCGTAACCTCCGCTCCCGGGTGGCCTTTTGTCCATCTGCCCACGACTAGGACAGGGCAGGCCCCTCATTTCCCATGGCAGCTGGTAACCAGAGCTGGTGGGACTGAGACATCTCCCCTTGGACCCCTAGGACAGGGCAGATGAAACCCCCTCCAGATACCGAATCACCATAGAGTCATTATGGTTGGCAAAGACCTTCAAGATCATCGAGTCCAGCCAGAAAATATCCGTCCTTGGCACATTTCCCACCCTGCAGCTTCCCCCTCCCCAAGTTTTCTTCTCTTGTCATCTATTGAAATCCTAACCCTAGCACGAGCTCCGGGCAAAATGGGCCTAATTCTGTGTTTTCCTTCTCCTCTGCAAACAGAGTGAGCTCTCTGCCAGTCTGGATGAGGTGAGCTGATGGGATTTAGCGGTGTCTTCATTGGGGATGCAGTTAACTTGTGTCCCCACGGGGCACCCGCTTCTTTTTGGACAATTCCAGTCAATAGCATCAGGAATTTAGTAACATTAAGGATCACTGAAAGGATGGGGCACTGCACTTGACCCTGTAAATGTTGCTGGTATCAGGGCACGTAGGGTAGCTTTTAAGCTAAGCCTTGAGGTGTAGGCATGTGCATGAGCTCTGTTGGTGTTTAACCCTGCAAACAAAGCATGCAATAACCGAGGAACCTCCCTGGCCGTGGCGAGACCTCTGCTCCAGCTGCAATGCTCCTCCGGTAGCGAGGCGGCCGCTCCAGGCAGCGTGGGAATCACGGGGCGGTTGTATCAGAGAATCACAGAATGTTCAAGCTTGGAAGGGACCTCTAGAGATCATCTAGTCCAACCTTCCTGCTCAAGCAGGCACACCTAGAGCGCCTCTGGAGAGGACACCAGGCTGTCGGGGTTGTGGCCATGGGGCTTGACCGAGCCCTTCGTTTGCCCTTATGCAAGGAAGCACCTGCCTGGTGCTTGGTTTTGTGCTGCTGAGATGCAGTCTAATATTTGAACCTTTTCAGGCCAGGGAGTAGTTCCAATGTCTCTGTTGCAAAGGCCAAAGTTTCCAACTTGCGGTGGGAATTCGGGTGTGTTTCACTTGGGGAAAAAACACACGTGTTGGAGAGTGTCAGTTACCCTGAACCTCCCTTGGGATCCTCTGCCTTCCAACCCAGAGCCCGGGGCTGCTGTCTTAGAGAGCCTCAAGGAGGGAGCTGAGTGAGGGCCATGGTCCTTTGGGTGCTGTGGTGAGCGCAGGGCCTGGTAATCCCCCAAATCGTGGGAGACGAGTGATGAGAGACATGGCTACGTGTACCCTCGGGCCGCCTGCCCATGGAAGGGTGTGTGGGATACCGCAAAGTGGGCTCCTTCCACCCAAAAGCCTTTCCTGGCAGGGAAAATGCCGCTTTCCTTAGCATAAAATCTGCCCCCTCTGCTGACCACTTCGTTGCCTTTGGAAGGGGGTGGGAGGGCTCATCTTCATGCTCTGCATGGGTCCATAACCGTCTCTGCTTTTTCTCCTCCCTTTCCTGCCATTGCCATCCCTGGAATGGGCAGTGCAAGCTCTGCCTCCCTGCCTTGTTCTCCGAGGGGCTCCTCCAATGGGTATTTCTGTGTCCAGCCTCTCGGCTCTCCTCTTTCGCTCCGCCTCACCCTGGAATCAAGCAAAGTCCCAGCAGAGATTGTCAGAGACCAGCTCCTTGAGATGTGGCCTGGCCCTCCTGCCCTGCAGGAACCCATCCACAGCAACCACTGGTCTCCAGTGCCCTTACAATAATTGCTAAATAACAAGTCTATTAAATAACTTGTGTGGTTGGGGACATCTCGAGGACTGGGCTGACTCCAGACTTTCTTCCACTCCGTTTTGGCCTGGTGTGAACAGGAGTGGCCTTTTGGCACTAGATTGTCCAGCCTTTGCATTGGAGCCTCCCCTGAAATTGCTGGACCTAGTTGTGCCGTGTGGGAGACACTTCCCACCGCCTCTCCCAACCAGCCAAGTCTCTGTTGGCTGTCACTCATCCTTCTGCCATCCCTGTGGAATTCAGGGTTGGATTAGATGTTCTCCAGGGTTCCCTTCAATCCTGATTACCCTGGAGTTGTCTTCATTCAAACCATCCCAGCCTGCCTGCAGGCCCCACAGGCCTTTTCATGGACATCTCTTCCTTCCAAATTGCTGAGAGAAATATCTGAGTTGAGACCTGTCTGGGAATTGCTTGTTCTCCACTACCATGCTGTACCTGCAGGTTGTCTCCCTTCTCCTGCCTCGTCCCCAGGACTCGCTGATCATTTCTCTTCAATGTGGTGAAACATTTAATGCTCTTTCCTTCAGCTGCCATTCAGAGGAGTAATGAGAGTGGCAAGGGTTGGAAAGGACCTCAAATGGGTGCTCTCTAGTTGAAGGCCTTGACGTGTTGGGTTCCAGGATGTGCTGGTGGGCTTTCCAAGCTGTTGTTGAGCATGGCAGGGAAGGGGGCAGCAGGACCTCTCCCTGCGAGGCTCTTCTGCACCGCAGATTGCCTGGAGAATGGACTGACTCAATTGGTCTTTGCTCCAGTCACCATGAGGAGATACAACACATGGTTTGCACCATGGGAAGATGTTGGTGCTCTCGTAGGGGAAAAGGTGCCCTAAAGCCATGGAGGCTGATGTTGGGGGAGGCCACATTTTCCATTAGGGACCTTCTGGGTCACAGACTGCACAGATGTGTCTTTGAGGTTGTGTGACCAACCTTGGTGTCCGGAGAGGGGCTGATGGTCTTCTCCAGCTCTGCACTGCTGTTACCCCATGTGCTAGGGAGCACGCTGAGCATGTTGGTGCTCAGCACCACATGTAGTAGAGTCTTGAGAGCCACCAACACCAGCAACCTGCACGTGTTTACAGTGAGGAGCTCCCTTATGGCTTTGGGGATAGACTGAGGCTCTCCTTGGGTCAGCCCATGCGTAGGCACCTCGACGTGCTCGAAGTGCCAGTGTTACGGGCTGCAGACCAGAGGAGCTGGGGTAGCCCAGCTCCTGGGGGCTGCCCAGCGCAGCCCTGCTCGCCAGCATGGGATCAGCCCGTGTTCATGGGACAGCGTCCGAGTTGGGAGCCTGGACTTCCGAATCGGGACAAGCGAGTGGGCTGTGAGAAGTGTGGAATGCAGGTGATGTTGGAGACACCCCACACGTCTCCCCATGTCCCTCAGGAGACCCATATCTTCCAGATAACCTTCTCGCTCTCCATCAGCACTATGAGGGCTCGGGGACCGCAGTGTCCCCGTGGGCAGCGCCGTGGGGCCCTGCACCCCCGTTTCCTGCCCCACGCGGGAGCCCAGCCAGCCGGAGCCTTCAGCCAGCAAGCAGCTGGATTCAGCAGCCACTGCCAAGGAAACTGAATCCGCCGCGTCTGGTGTGCCTAACGTGCCACCAGGAAAAATGCCTTTGTAGTGCATGTCCACACAAACCTGAACCAGTCCTGCGCTTGAAATATATACGCCCCCTTAATGTAATGCAATAATAGGCGAGCCTGAAAAGAATGCTCGTCTCCTAAATTGGTTCCAACTGCCCTTGGTTGAGGGATGCATGTTTAGCGGTTTTGTTCTCCTTCCTGCTTTTTTGGCGACGCTGAACTCAACCATCAAGGTCAAGAGCGAGTCGAGACACTGGTGGGGCTCCAAGCCATGACTTTGAGGGCAGAAGTGGAAATCTGGCTCTGTTTTCTCCCCCGTGAGAGCAAAGCTCAGAGTCGGTCACCTGTTGTAGACATTTAGTGTTGTCCCCTGTCTGCTGCCCCTCGCGTGGGTCGCAGCCAACTGCCCCTTACCCCGCTCCAGGACTCCGCGTGTCACTAACGCTAACTCACCTCCCGCTGCTGCCTCGTCCCCTTTCCCTGTCCTTTGCTCCGCGGTCCCCCGTGGCACGGAGCCGCCGTGGCGCCGGTGGGGACGGGCCGCAGCTTGTGGGGGGCGATGGGCTGGGGACCGCGGCTCACGGGCGCGTTGGGGTCCCCGCAGGACGAGGACTCGGACCTGCCGTACCCGCCGCCGCAGCGGGAGCCCAACGTCTACGTGGTGCCGCAGGGCATCAAGCCGGTGCTGCAGCGCACCGCCGTCGAGGTGAGCGGTGGGCACGCACGGGGGGACGCTCCTGTCGCAGGATGAGCCCAGCTGGTGCGGGGGGACGAGCCCCACGGGTGGGATCCAAGGCAGACTGCGTGGATAAATACTCTGTACTATAATAGCCCTAATAATATAGCCATATGTCATAGTCCATAATAAATAGTGCCTCGAGCTGGCGCTGCGTGTGCGGATATCAGCTCCAGGACTGCCCTGCCTGGAAGACCCAATTCCCTGCTGGATATCATTGCCTGGAAGACCCAATTCCCTGCTGGATATCATCGCCCCCGGGGAACGGTTTCCATTTTATCTTCCTTTCCCAGCACACAACTGCTACCCGCTCCTCCCTTCCACGAGGGCATCCCCCAGGGTAGCCAGGGTCTTGTGGACCTCGTGCACTGGTGCATGGAGAGAAAAGTTTGCCGTAAGGGTGGAATCACATGGGAGGTTCAGGCCTCCTTTGAGGTGGGACAGCTTCAGGGTTGCCTCTGCTGATGAGGAGCCTGGAGGCAGGCCTGGAGGCGGCCCTTCAGCTCAGCCCTTGCTGCCTGTTTCCCTGCAGATCCTGGCCTGGGGGCTGAGGAACCTCAAGAGCTACCAGCTGGCGAGCGTCACGTCGCCCAGCCTACTGGTGGAGTGCGGGGGCCAGCTCGTGCAGTCCTGTGTCATCAAGAACGTCAAGAAGAACCCCAACTTCGACGTCTGCGTGCTCTACATGGAAGTGGTGAGGACACCGTGGCTGCACTGCTGGCTTCTAGCAGAGCTGGTGGGAAGGGACATCTGGGGTCCTCAGTGCTGCTCCAAGCAGGACATGGCAGTGGTCCCTCAGCCACCTGCCCCTGCAGGCCTGGAGAAGAGGAGGTTGCACCGGGTTCACAGGAGATGGGGACAGAGGAAACCTCCTTTCCTGGTTGCTTAGGGCTCAGCAAATTCCCTGAAAATATTCACTTCCTCCCCGACCTGCTGGCAGAAGCAGCCCAACCTTGGGGCAGTGTTAGGTGTATGAGGGACACAAGATATGGAGCTTCTCCAGCACCACGTGGTGCTCAGCGCTTCTGATAAGCCCTGCTTACCTAGGTTCTTAATTTCAGGCCCCTGAATGACAAGTGGAAGGGGCTTGGGTAGAGCCTAGAAAACACGTTCTGTGGCGAGGCTGGTCCTATCCTGCTCATCCTCACTGCGGTCTGGATGGGTGCAGAGCTGCGGCCCCAGCACCCCGTGTTCCCTGTTGCCTTCTCTGCCCGCAGCGCCTGCCCAAGGAGAGTCTGTACAGCCCCCCCATCGTCATCAAGGTCATCGACAACAGGCCCTTCGGCCGCAGGCCCGTGGTGGGGCAGTGCACCATCCGCTCGCTGGAGGACTTCTACTGGGACCCGTACGGCGAGGAGACGGATGGTCCTCAGGAGGAGCCAGGTAGGTGGTGAGCACTCTGCCCATGGGCCCTGTGCTGGCAACGGGCCCGTTGCTCCTGGCCCTGTGCTGGAGGACCCTTGTGCTGGAGGACCCTTGTGCTGGAGGACCCTTGTGCTGGAGGACCCTTGTGCTCCTGGGTGGTGGAGGGAGGTCGGCTCCGGGTCCGCTCCGGGTGAGCAGGGCTGTCCCGTGGCTGAGCTCCCTGGCTCGCCCATGGGACCTGGCAGGGAGCTAACCAGGGTGCAGGACATCATCAGATCCATAGTTACCCGTGTGTAGATGCGCTGCTGCGCAGGCCCAGCACGTCGTTGGGACACCGGGGGCCAGGGAGCGGAGCCTCCTGGCAGGGCTGGGGCTGCAGGCGATCTCCGCGCCGCTCTCCTTGCAGATGATGCGAGCCTCACGCCCAAAGACGACGTTCTCATCGACATTGACGACAAGGAGCCTCTCATTCCCTCCCAGGTACGGAGAAAACCACAACAGGAGACAACAGTGATTTCTTCTTTTGCTAGATAGCTGAGATACAAGCCTGGCTGATGGGGGGTTCTCTGGTCATCACCCTCTGCTTGCAGCCCTTGCCTGTTTTTACCCCCTCCACCACATGGCAAGAGCCAGAAACCCATTAGTCTTCCTGATGTCTAAGCCAAGGTGTCAGATAAGACTTTCCCTGTGTGTGATGACAGTCCGTCCCCATGCCAGGCTCGTCCCTTCATCCCGTCCCCCTTCCTGTTCAATGAATGGGCTGGTTTGTAGCAGAAGGTGGTTTTGCTGTCATCCCACGTGGGTTCCACCCCATGGGACGTTGAGTCTCTTGTAAAGCTTCAAGGTTGGAAGGGACCTCTAAAGATCATCTAGTCTAAAATGGTAAATGGTAGTTACTGCCCCAAAGCTGTGGGAACAGGTCATGCATTAACAGAGCTGAGGAGGGAGGCATGTGCTGCTCCCTACATGCAATGAGCTGGGGGGACTCAGCCAGAGCAGGGCCTGTCGCTGTTTCCCATTTCTGGAGCCTTTTGGGTTTCTTTGCCCGCAGATACCTCCTGCTCAAGGCTGAGACCTTTCGGTGCCAGTGTGTGCCCAGGCAACGTGCAGGTCTGGCACTCAGCCCCATTGCTAGCTGGTGTCATCAGAGGTGTTTGGTGGAGCCTTTTCAGAGCCTCCCAGCTTTCTCTTCCCTTTGGTGCATTTCTTTAACCTCTAAAAGCTTTGGGTGCTGCATGGTACCTGCAGCAGGAACAGCCTGAGCTGTCACCTTGCCTTGGTGGCCTTTCTGTGCTTCCGGCTGCAAGGACTTCACCGATGGCTCCATGCCATCAAACGTGGACCCTGTGTCCCAAGGCGGGCACCGCCGGGCTGCTGGGCCCAGAGCATCCTCTTGACGGGGTCCTGGTTCAGATTCGGAGTCGTCCCCAACTCCAACTCTCTCCTTGTTGCGTCTCCCGTGCTAACCTGGTGCTTTGTATCACGCGAACCCTCCCGGCGGCTCCGTGGGCATTGCTGCGGGAAGGGTGTCTATTAGACACTGCAATATCTGCCCAGGCCAAGCCTCCCAGGCCTTGTGCTAAGAAAAATCAACATTTTTGCCCAGTTTTTGTTAAAAATGACGTGTATGGGCCTCAAGCCTGGTTTGCAGCTGGCCCTGCTTATTCTTGCCCACCCCATGGACTGATGCGATCCAGCACTTGCAAACGAGGCCTCTTAATTCCATCTGATCTGGCCTTTTCTCATTCCTCCCCAGCCCTTGGGACATGTGTGCGCTCGGCAGCTTTGGAAACCTGACAGCTCTTATTCGGATGCATCAGTTGGGAGCTGGATATTGGATATTGCAAACGTTGCCCTGGGAAGGGTGATGAGAAAGGAAGGGTGACTCGAGACAAGAAGTAGTGCTGACAGTGTAATGGGCTTCCCGTTGCCTTGCCATTTGTGCGTTTGTCCTAGCTATTTGCACTTCATCCTATAACGTCTCAACTAATTACAGTTCATCTTGTATCGGTGGAGTAACTGGAGCGTGTCTGCAGGAAAGCAAAAAAAAGGGAAAAGAACCAAAACAAAACAAGAACAAAGTTGAACCTTGGAGTCTTGGAGCAGGAGCTCTCACTTTTATGGATTTATAAAACCCCTCTTCTAGTTTGTCTCCCTTTGCAGCAGATGGGGCAGTTGATGGGACTCAGCCCCTCCGTGAAGCCTCGGAGACCTCCTTCCTCACAGGCTCAGGGCAGGATGGATCCTTAGGAAGTGCTTGGGATGTGGAGGGGGATGTTGGGATCTGCTGTTCCCGTTACGGAGGGAGGACCCTGGCTCGGGAGATAGCAGGAGGGAAATGCAGAGCCTCACTGCGATGTGAGGGGGTGAGCCGTGTTGCCCACGTGCTGCAAGGGAAACCAGATGAGAGTTTCTTAGCATTGCTGAGAAAATTAGGCAGGAAAATTAGGAGTTTTCCTTCAGAGTTAACCCTGGAATAGTTCCTTTCTGCAGCTTCCCAGCAGAGAAGTTCTGGTCTTCCACGCAGATTATGAGGATCTTCTCCTTGCTGCCTCCCTTTGGCATTTTCCAGCGCTTGCTTTCTGTGTCCCCATGGAGGAACATTTCACAGCCCAAACTTTTAATCCAAGCTTGCTTTTTCACTGCAAACTAATTCTGTCTGTCCACGTGGCCACTGAAAGCTGGGCCCTGTGCTGAGCCCCGTGCAGCAGAGCGAGGTGGCACTGGGTGCCCGTCGGACTTGGACACCTCAAGGTCTCCACACCTCTGTCTGCTCCATGGCTCCCAGGAGCTGCAGTCCTGCCAAGCTGGGCACGTCGTCTCATGGATTTGTTGGGAAAGGCCAGAGCTCCAAAGGATGCTATTTCTGTCCTGGGGAGGAGAGGAGATCGGGGACAGGAGTGGTCATCCTTGAGAGACTTCTTGAGCCAACAAGGTCTGTGGAGACCTGCCAGCTGGACCAGTGGTTCCTAAGGGACGGTGACTCCTGTTGCTCACCATGAGCAAGGATGCCCACATTCACACACTTTGGGTTCACCGTGACGCAGACAGAGGTGGCCTTGGGGTCTCTGTGTGGCTGCAAGGAGGAGAGGTTCCCTGCACGCCTGGAAACAGCGTTTTTGGAAGGTGACCCCCAGCAATGGGGCTCCTGGTAGGAACAGGAGTCCTGAATCCTTGGTGCTGGTGTGAGAGGACGCGGGAGGTGACGCTTGGCGCCTGGTGCAGGAGAGGACCTGCCACCGCAGTGCAGCAAGGGGAGACGTCCCAGGTTCACTGCTCCCTGTCCACGTCTTGGCCAAGTCGATGTGGTGAGAGCTGCTGCTCCGAGACGCCTCTTGTGTATTTGTGCCTACCCGGAGCCATGGCGCGTGTCCCAAAAGCCTCTTTGGATAAGCTGTAATCTTTTCCTGCCTTGCTTGCCCTCGCAAGCAGCGAGCAGCCCTGGTGTGGCGGGAGCTGCCCTGGCTCGAGCCCCGGCGAAGCCGCGGAGGAGCCGTCAGCAGCGCTGCAGGAAGAAGCGCTCTGCTCCCCGGGACAGCTTGAAGCCCATCGAAAGCGTCTCCGGACTCGGATCCAAACTGGGGAAGAGGTTAAGCTGGGAAGGAAAGAAGGGAAGGGGCGAGGGAAGCAGGAAAGCCAAGACGTTCTGCCGTGGCCGCTTCCAAGTGAAAGACTTGGACATTTGCTTCCCGCAACAAACAAAGAAACAAAACACCCTGCAAAGAACCGAGGCGTTCGCTCGGGCCTCGGATTACTTCTTTGCTGTTTGTTTGTTTGTCTTTCCATTTTCTTTCCCCCCTTTTGTCAGGGGAGGAGGAGGGAGCCGGTTCCTGGAAAGCCGGACCAGAATTCCCACCATCTCCCTCCGTGTCCTCCCCACGTGAGCTCTGGACGCTGCTCCTCCCACGTCCCCACACGTGGGACCTGGGCTCTCTCGTTGGGTGGCCCGACACCCTCGCAGCCCTCGGGTACCTCCATCCTGCTCTGCTCCGGCTGGGAGCTGCCGGCCAGGAGCAGGATTTGCAGGTGAGGGGGGCAACGGAACCACTGAGCGGCACAGGGTGTCCCCATCGTGTCCCCATCACTGATCGCTGCCAATGGGTCACTCCCGGCCCCGCACCGGCTCCGTGCCCGTTGGCCATCAGTGCCCTCGGGAGCCGGAGCTGCTCCTCCGCGTGCGGGGCGTGTTGGGCTGTGCAGCTCCAGCCTCCGCCAAGCCTGGCGCCCGCCCCTCGCTCCCGGACGGCTCCCACAAAAGAGCGTTTGTTGTCCTTGTCTCAGCGAGGGAAAACAAACACGCGCTCAGCCCCGCGCTCCGAGGCTGCCGAGCGCCGGGACAGCTCGTCCAGGCGGGCCGGGAGGTTCACGCTGAGGTCTGCTCGGAGCAATCTGCCGGCACATGAACGGGAAACATCGTGCTTACCGGAAAAGGAGGAAAGGAGCTTCTGAAACTCATAGAAATGCTGCATAAAGGCTCCCTGAACCTCCTACAGGTCTCCCGGGCTCTGCCTTTCTGGTTGACTCCCCTAGGAGATGCTCATTGAGGAGGGTTTCACAAGGTGAAGCCTGCACAACTGACTCCCATTTTCTACGTGAGGTTGGTGTGGATGAGCCCATCATCCCAGCAGCATCCAGAACTGCTTCTTGTCCTCAGCGGTCTTTTCCAAGTCCTCAACATCAGAGGCATTAAAGCTGGAAGGGCAAGCACGACATCCATCGACATCCCCCGGGCGCAGCCGATACCTCTTTCTCCTGCTCATTGATAAAACAGTCACGTATGAGTCATCTAGTGTCCTAGCCAAAGCCACCGACGGTCACCTTGGCTCCGGAAGGAAACTGCCTTGGGAAATCTCTCCCGCGTGAGGCAGTTGTGAAGCTGCTGCTGGACTCAAGCTCTGCTGCGTTGCCAGCGTGGTGGGCAGGCGCCTCTTGGCTCTGCTGGTTGAGCTGATGGGCAGCAGACCAGGGAGCACTCAGCAGCAGGAGGACAGGCAATAAACATCCAAACTGTTAGGAAACAGGTCAGAAGCAGCACCCGCTTCCAAAGCCCTGGCAGCTGCTCAGTGCTGAGCCTCTAGGCTGGGTCTTGAGTGGCCTCAGATGCTCTGAAGACTGGATTTAACCCAGCTTTTGGGTCTCTCGTCGTCACGCAAGCGGCAAGGTCGGTTTTCTGGAGTTGTGGTAGTGTCACCCGGCGAACGCAGCCAGCAAAGGGTCATCCTTGACCCGAGCTGCTCTTGTGCGGGCTGGCTGCTCGCCACGTGCTGCGACGGGCTCTGGAGAGAGCCCGTCCTGGTGCTCCAAGCCAGCGCTTTTCCTGTGGGAACTTCTCACTTCTCTCCCTTCGGCAGCTTGGAGGCAACGTGCCGCTGAGCCCTTTCCGCTCGGGTGAGATAGGAGCCGAGCTGCAGCTCGCTGCCCGGCGTGGAGGGAAGGCGATGGCAGCTCCCGCCTTGCCAAGGACAAGCTGCGCTTGTGCTCGGTGTTTTGTTTGTAACGGACCCTCATCCTGAGTTTCCTAATCCCTTCATGTCAAAACAGCCTGGGTTCGAGCCCTCCCTGGCGTGTGCAACGGTCCTGGCTCGCTGTGTGTTCAGGCCCTTGGTGTCCACCGCATGAGAAGCTGCGCTGGGGATACTAATGGGGTGCTTGGCCTCGTCTCACGGCTCCTCTGTGACATCGATTTTTCTGCAGTTTCTAGATGTAGAATTCCGATAATTCCCTAGGCAGCTTGTAGGTGCTTTCAGCCCAGATAAAGTCCATGGAGAGCGGATGGCTCCTGGTGGAAAACTGCGCTGCTGCAGCCCGATGTTACAGATGGTGCAGTGTGGTCCGGGGTGACCCACGAGTCAACCCGTCGTCCTCTTGCAGGACCCTTTGTGCTCAGGGCCCTGCAAGCTGGATGCTGATAAGGACCTCTGGGTCTTCACAGAATCCCAGGATGGTTGAGGTTGGAAGGGACCCCCAGGGATCCCCCAGTCCCACCCCTGCTCCACAGGGACACCCAGAGCACGGGGCACCCGCTCCATCCCGGCGCGTTGGCAGATCTGCAGAGCAGGAGCCTCCGCAGCTCCCTGGGCAGCCTGGGCCAGGGCTGGGCACCCTCACACCAAAGTTCTTCCTCACATGGAGATGGAACTTCAGCCAAACCAACCCTCTGATTTCAGAATTGCTTACAAACCTGCTGGAGGTGCAATCTGGGTTGGACCTCCCAGCCAAGGGCAGGTCATGGTTAAGGTTACAGGGACAAGGCTGCGGGAGTGACAGTGTCCAACCTTGTTCATGTGCCCAAACCCATTGTCTTTCAAGCTGCTGAGTCATTGACAATCTAGGACTAAATTTAAGAAGAGATAAACAAAAGGGGAGTTATATCAGACCTCAGTTTTCTTTAAGCTTTGATCTTCCTAAGTTTATTTGAGAAAAAAAAAAACTAAAAGAACAGTCAAAACTAGCCCTGTTTTTATGAACATTGATGAGAACTGGAGCCCAAATGCTGCCCCTGTACTATGGGTTCCTGTCTACAGAGACTTTGACCCTGCAGTCCAGGGGAGGGGAAGCTGCACCCATTGGGTCAAGTTGTTTTGTTTCTCCTCAAATGTGCTTGTGCTGATGTGTTTTGAACACGGTTTCTCTAACCCCGTTGGTAACCACTCATTTTAATTTGTAGCTTGCGGAGGGCATGACCAGCTCGCCATTAATTAACATACCAGCTTCGTGCTCCGATCCACATGTATGTATCGCTTCCTTTCTAACTTATTTGCATTATTGTTATTTTAACTTTTTTTTATGAACAGTACACAAATTATTTATATTTCCAGATCTGCAGAAGTGAAGCATTTCTTGCTCTTCCCTTTGCTTCTTGCTGCTCCCTTTGCTGTCCCAGCTCTGTGGCGATTCCACGTTGCTGCAGGTGCCCATGTAGTTCAGCCATCATTGTCCTCCACACCGAAGCAAATGAGGAGCTTGCTCGCTGTCAGCCTGGTGGAACAGGGGTAGTTATGTCCATACCCAAGGTCAGATGTTGTCTTGACAGCCCCTGGCCTCTCTATCTGCTGCTTTCGGTTGAACGGAGGTGGATTTGGGCTGATTCCTTGATGGCCACAGTGGATGGTTGAGGATGTGACAGATGCCTGTGCTGCCCATGTCTAGAGGCTGGACCTCCTGAGGAGCTCCTAGCACTGCCGTTGGTTTGGGTTGCCCTCAGGAGGGGGATGTTGCTCTGAGGAAGGCTTGAGCTTGTAGATAGGGTTTGGGGGTTGAGGGACTCCTGCAGGGCCAGGCCCAAATTCATCCCTAGCACAGTTGCCGACCTGGCAACATAGGATCTCAGGAAAGCTGGACAGGCCTTTGGAGTAGTTTGGGTAGGCAGAGCACGTGGAGTAAGGCAGAGCACGTGGAGTAAGGGGGAAGGTTGTAGCTTCTCGTGGTTGCTTCTCGTGAGCTTTGTGCACACAGAAGCCCCTCGGTGGTGGCTTGCTGGACAAGGAGACCCTCTTGGCTCCCAGCTCTCCATGCGTGTGGGTCTGTTGGTCCAAGGCTGCTCTTCAGTGGCCCCTGTCTCCTCTGCAGCATGAAGGGGCTTCCTTCGTCCTGCAGAGAAGAGGGAAGGGTGGCTGAGCTGGGCCGCCAAGCGTGGAAACAGAAGGTCCATAAATAGCCTCCCGCCGCCGCTCATCAGCATTTTTAATTTACCCCAATATGTTTTTGTTTTAGTCCAAATCAAATTTTGCAAAGACGGGGGGAGGAAAGAAAAAAAAAAAAGGCTGCAAGCCATTAATTTAAAACAAAAGCAACAGAATATTAGGCAGTAATGAACCCATTCTCTTGGCCCGCACCGGGACCCTACAAGAATTGATTAAATATAATAAAGCTCCCGTCCTAAAGAGCTGCTGCCGCTCCTGGGGGAAGCTCCGTGCCCTTCCCGTCGCCTCCCGCTTTGTTGCCGCGGATCTTGGCCCGCAAGCGGCTCCCGTGGCCGCCGCGCGAGGCAGAGGGGCTGCAGAGGGGCTGCAGACGGGCAGGAAACGGGAGCCGGCGGCCGAGAAGGCGGCCCGACGTCGGGCGCGCGAGCACCGGGGAGCCGCCGCTCCGGGGAGCAGGGGAGGCGTGGAAGAGATGCGTGGACTTGCCCTCTGTGGAGGCTTTAGGATCAGACACACCTCCTTGGTCCAGTCCACGTGATTTTTGTTTTCGATGTTTTTTTTTTTTTGCCTATCTGCCTCCTCAGCAGCATGGCCTCAATGTGCTGGAAAACACTTGAAAATCCCCCAAAGAGCCATGGAAACACCAACAGCAAGGCCAGCTGGGCCATGAGACCCACCAGGGAGAGGACCTTGCCCTCGTGCTCGCGGTGGCAGTGGCCCTGCACCTCTGGGCCCCACGTGCAAACAGGGCTGGAGGTGAAGAAGCAGCCACGGGCTGGATGCTCCATTCCAGAGCTGCTGGTCCAGGGGGTTCAGCTGATGGTTCAGCTGATGGCTCTGTCTGGGGCCTGCATGAATCCAAGCACTTACATTTGCAGTTGTCCGTAACGTAGCTTAATTCCTGTTTTGTGTCCCAGGAGGCAGCTTCGTGCGTGGGGTTTTTGCGAGCTGTTAGTACAGAGCTTGAGATGGTTCTGGTAGGGGCTTGAGCATCTGCACAGCCCTCTCCCTTTGTGTGTGTTTCCTGAGCTGGCCTCATATCTGTGTGCCCTTAAGGTTCTCCTTCATGAAGAACCCCACCCTTGGTCCCCTTGCTTGTCCCTCACCCACCCCATCTCCTGCTTTTGCAGCATCTTGACCCTCCCATCCCTGGAGCTCCCTTCCAAGGTCATGTGAACCGCTCTATTGATCTGGTCTTTCTTTGCTCCCTGTTGAAACCGCTGTTGCCAAAGTCTACCTAGAAACTAGAGAGCTTGCTCTTCATCCCTCCCTGTCCCTCCTGAAAACCTTGCACCTAAGCCAAAGGAGGTGCTTCAGCAATGCTGGTGTCGCGGTGACCGGCCTTAGCGCTCCGGATCCGTCCCCTTCCCGCTGCACCAAGCTCAGGGCTCATCCCTCGGAGTCTCCCTGTGGAATTCAGGTGGTTAAATCATGCCCAAAGGGGAAAGGGAGCTCCAGGACTTCTCAGAGCTTCCATGGACATTGTCCACCGAGCCTGGACAATGGGTCACTGGGCAGGTTTTTGCCACTGTTTTTTTACGTGACTCCAGTCAAGTCCTTTCAGTTGGCCTTGGCCTCAGCTGCTGCTGTGCTGCTCAGCCGTGTCCATGTGCAAGGCATCCCAGTGCTAGGGGGACCTCAGAGCCGTTTCGTTGCAAATATTCACCTTCTTATGAAAAATAATAACTATTTTTGCTATTACCAGCACTCATTTTGATGCAGTGGTCATTGTGCAGTGGGCAGGGGTGGCTCTGAGCTGGGGTCTGTCCCCGGCAGCTCCCCGCTGTCCGTAGCCCAGTGGCCTGGTGGCTCCTCTCCCTGGAGGCATTACCTCCTCCGTTCAGCTCTTTGGGGCAAATGGCTGCAGTTTTGGGTCATTTTAATGCCAAAAATTCACATGCAAAAAGTAGCAGCTCGCTGCAGTGCAAAACGCCTGCGTGCCAGCCGGGATCTGGAAGAGCTGGAGCCGAGTGACCCATGAACGTCCCCCGTCCCCGTGGGCATCCCTTGAGCACCAAGGAGCTGCCAACAAGCCCTGAGGATCCCCCAGTCCCCCCACGAAGCACCAGAGGTGCCTTCGAACCAGCTCCTCTTACTGCTCTCCTGGCCCGCGCCGCCCCGCTTGTAAGAAGTACAAATAACCCATCAAATCACAACTTCGCGCAGCGCCCGCGCGCCAGAAGAATAAGTCGAAATCTGTAAACTATTTGCAATAATTGGTTATTTGCTGTGTTTGCTAGTTCCAAATCGGAGCACATATTTTATGGCTTATCCTGTTACTGCTCGCTGGAAGAGCTGGGGGTGTTGAATGTCTCCTGCCCAAAGCGATCGCCAATAACCCCCGCTGCAACCAAGGCTCGCTCCTGTCCTCGGAGCGTAGGATTTTTCCCTTTTTCCCCCTTTTTTTAATACGTGCTCGGGTGGCAGCAACCAGAGCAGCCGCTGGCACCCTTTGGAAGCTGCTCCGGACCAATTTGTCTCTTGAGCTGGTTCTCTGCAGGCTGGACCTGCCGGCGAAGGGGTCCCGAAAGGAGAGCTGGATCAGCAGGAATGTGGTGGCCCAGCAGGGAGCCAGGGGAGTGCCGCGGCTGCACACAGGGGATGCTCTGTTTTGCTTTTGGACACCATGGAGCCTTGGCCAGGCTGGTTCTGTTGGAAGAAAGGAGGTCCTGGCCTCACCTGGCCGCAGATGTCTGCAGTTTTGGGGTTAGGATAGAGATAAATAAATGAAAACAATTTGGGTGACAAGATAAAGGTGACAGAGCAAGGAGCTGGTAATGTCTCCCTGAGCCTGTGACAAGGACAGGCCTCGAGGACGTGCTGGAGATATGGCAAGGGACCCTGCAAGCTCCTTGCCTGCATGCATCTGCTTTGCTCCTCAGCTCAACCGCATGCATTTTGTGCATGCGGTTGCTCTGCCCTCTCCTCCAGCGCTGCTTTCTGCAGGCTGTGGTGCTCCTTGGAGCTGCTGCAGGTCTCCATGGGTGACTTGTGGCTCATGACCTGTTCCCAGGCCTGGAGGAAGCAGGACCAGGTTGGCCCAGGGTTGATAGGCCCAAGGTTGATAGACCACGTTGCTCTTGGGGAAGCAGGTTGGAGGTGAAGGACTCTGGAGTCTGTGTCCAGTGGCAAAAAGGCTCCTTGCTGCTTCCCAAGTCTGGATGTGCAAAACCTAGGTTGGTTTGTGACCAACCTCGCGTCCTGGCCTCCAAGGCAGAGCTTGAAGACAGGTTGGGTTTTTCTTGCTTCCCAATCACATCTGCAACTTCCCAACTCGGACACCTGGGCTGGATTTGCAGCAGGGAGGCTGGCCCAGCACCCAGGTACGGTCCCTGCAGCTCACACCGGTTGTGGGTGACGGGCGAGCATCGGTGCAGCTGGGACGCAGAGGCAGGAGCAGGGACGAGCAGCTGGGAAGTCACATCCTGAAGTGTCCCGGCTGTTTCTGCTGGGATCTGCTCGTCCCGACAGCAGGAAATCTGCCTCCCAGATGTGCGGCCGGCTACGGCTGGGTTGGAGGCGGTGGCTTAGGCTCCTTGGAGGCAATTTTTATGAGTGCTGTAATTAGCTATATCCGAGCAGGGAAGAGTGTGTCATGCTTACAAGAGCAGTCCTGAGCACCAAGCCTTCAGCTGTCTCACGGCGGCTCTGCTCCAGGCTTTGCTCTCTGGGCTGTCCCGTCTGTGCCTCAGTTTCCTCACCTGCGACATGAGGACAACGGCTCAGTTTGACCGGGAGCCAATGGGGCCCTTTCGTGGCAGCTTCTCAGCTTCCTCCAGCTCCTTTCCTTTTGACCTTTTCAGCCTGTTTTGTGGAAACTGATATTCCAAGCTCCTGATGTTCCATATGGGGAGGCTGTCCTTATGGACATCCTTAGGGAGAGAGGGCTGGAAGTGACTTTGCTGCCTTCCCAGGACACCCCGGAGCTGCTGGGGAGGCTCCAGTGACATGGTCACGTTGGGTGGCCTCTAGGCAAGAGACAGGGACAGACCTGAGTCCTGTCCACCTGGCTGATGGTGTCCCCGGGCCTTATCCCGGTGCCCAATGAGCATGCCTGGAATGCTGCAGGCATCCCCAGGACACAGGACCGAGCCGAAACCCTGGAATTGCCCTTGGCTCTCAGCTGCCTCCTAAATGAAATCCCTGAATCCAGTCGCTCCCGTACTGGAGCCATTGCTTTCACTGGCTTTTCCATTTGCAGGCAAGTGGATTAATATCCTTTGCTATTAACATTCCAGCTGCTTCCCTTGCTTCATTTTTCCTTTTTCCCTTTTTTTTCCCCTTTTTTTTGTAACATCAGTAGAAATCAGCAAAAATATCTAACCAAATTCTTTGTCTTGGGGCTGCAGAAGATACCATGGGTAAGTCGTCAGATTAGTGTAAGTGCTTTCTTTGTAACCCAGTACCTGTGGAATGTCATAATAAAGCCACGATGGTTAAAATGTAGCCTTTTAAACAATAAAACAGGGGAAGCGATGAAAGGCAATTTTTTTTTTTCAAAAAAAAAATTGAAAAAAGGAGAGCAGAGGCCTCAAAGTTAATTTATGTAATATTTCTATTAAAAACAATGTCTATTCAAGACAGCAATTTAAAGCCTGCACCGTTGGCTTAAAATATAAGTCCAATAAACCTCTATTATGATTCCTCCATTAGGTCAGTGTGATGGAATTTTGTGGACTTCTAAAATAAGACATCATTATTTTTGAGGAATGTTTCATGAATCACAGTCAAAGCCCCTTCATCTTTGCGTGTACGAATTTCAGAAGTCGTGCTCCTATAAAGCTCAAAGGTGTTGTGAAGGCGGCTCTCTCCATGGGCTGGCATCCCTGAAGCTGGGCACCTTTGCGTATCAGACGGGGCAACTGCTCTGTGGTGGCCATGCGCTGCACCATGGTGGGGCCATGGCTGCATGAAACTTGCCCATTTCTTCTTATAATATCAGTAAGAATAGAGTTGTGGTCTTCCTGGGGTGGGTGAAGCACTTGAGGACTGAGCTTCTCCAGTGGAAGTAGCATTTGTCCATCTCTGGTCCATCCCCAACCTGGCCCAAATCTGCCACGTGCGGTTGTTTCTGATGAGCTCTCCCTGCCTCCCCTGTGGAGAAGTGGCCTTTTTGATGGGGTCTGGCTGGTGTGGGACAGCTTGGAGCTGGAACCATCCCCTGAGCATGTGGATTTGTGCTGGAATCATCCCCCCGAGCACCTCTCCTCTGTAAAGCAGGGAAGAAGGAGCTGCAGGTTGGTTCAGGATAACTTCATCTCTGCAGGACAGGGACCCTCTGACACGAGGCTGAGCAGCGGGCTCAGCGCTGTGCACTGCTTCAGCCCTGGCAGCTGTGGGAGATGCTGCTGTCATTGCTCATTGTGGATCACTAGCGGAGACGTCTCCTTTTTGTATCTCTTGCCTCCAGGAGGAAGAATTCATTGACTGGTGGAGCAAGTTCTATGCTTCCACGGGAGAGAGGGAAAAATGTGGCTGCTATTTGGAGAAGGGCTTCGACACGCTGAAGGTAAGTGGCTGTGGCTGGTCTCTGCCTTCTTGAACCTGGGCTCTTCTTGATGTTCTTCCTTGAGCTCTGGTGGGAGGAGAACGGGGGCTCCTTTCAGGATTCCTCTAGAGCAGAAGTGTAAAGGTCTAGATGAACATGTTGGAAAAACACAATCTTTTACTACCAGATATCTGTTACTGGAGAGTTTTGGCCCAAAGTTCAGGTATTTCTGTTGGGATGGAGGGCTGTGGTACCCCAAGGAGCTGGGTGCATGGCACAGGCGGGTTATAATACTGCCCACGCATGACAGCATTGCTCAGTGGGATAGTTTGGGTGTTGAGGAGGTATTTTCTATTGGAAATACTTTCTGGTAAAATTTTCCACTTTTCATCGTTCAAGAGATTGTCCCTGTCTTCAACTGCAGAAGAGATGGGAAGCTGCCAACCTGGACAGTGTTTGGAAATGCCCCAGAAGCCAGAGGTTGCTAATGGAGGGGGGAAATTAAGGCGCTGTTTGATGGGATGTGTGAAGAGTAACATCCCAAGTAGAAGTCAAGTGGGGAAAACCAAGCCTGGTGGCAAGAAAAACACTCCCAGCAGGGAAGTCTCTTTGGGTTGATGAAAACCCCTCTATTGACTAAAAAAAAAAAAAGAAAAAACCTTGGCATATCTTTGCCTGGTTAGAACATCCATGCCATGCAGCTTGATTTTCTACAATGCCTTTGGCTCATGGGACGAGGCATCAACTGGCATCAGCCCTTTGTGGCACCAGAACAACCCTGGGCTTGCTGAGTTAGGTGCTGTTATCGTAGCGTGGTCAAAGGTCTTCTGCTCCTCGTTCTTGTCCTGATGGGTAACCAGGATCCTATGACTGTGTCCTTGAGGGTGACTTCTTTTCTGGCCTGGGGCTTCTGGATCAAGGCTTGTGCAAGCAGGGCTGTGTCAGGGTGCCAGCCCTGCCCTTGCAAACCTGGCCTCTCCTTTCCCAGGTCTACGAGACAGAGCTGGAGAGCGTGGAGGACTTCGAGCACCTCTCGGACTTCTGCCACACCTTCAAGCTGTATCGTGGCCGGACACAGGACTCAAATGACGATCCCTCCGTTGTGGGAGAGTTCAAGGTACAGTGACCTCTCTTTCTACCTCCAAGGGCAGCACCTTTGCCCATAACCCAGCCTATAATTTAGCTAATTGCTGTTAGGCTCCTGGTCAGGCCACCTCTGCCCACCATCCTCATGTTAAACCCTCAGAGATGTTTCCAGACCTTCTTTCCCAGCCAGGTCATTGCTGGAGCTGCTTCCCTGGGAAGCACGATGGGGATCCTCCACACCAGCTGCTGAGACTCCTTGTCCTTGCACAGTCCAGGTGTCTGAGCCCTGCTTTTGAAACCTGTTGCTTGGTTATCTCCCAGATTAAGCTTCAGTTGTGCCAAGATGCTAGATGCACCTGAGCAGCAGAAAGTGGTGTTCATGCCCAAATTATTTCTAGCTTATGTTAAACTTTGCCTAGTAGTAAGTTGTTGGCAGAGACCATGCAACCTCGGTGTTGCTTGGAGAGACATGCTCTAGGTGTCACTGCTGGAGCAGGAAGGTTGGACTAGATGACCTCTAGAGGTGCCTTCCAACCTTGAAGATTCTGTGAACCTCTTCAGGCCAGGCCAGACACTCTGCTGTCTGCATGGGGGAGCAGGCATGAAATACAGCTAGGAATGAGCCCTGCTGGATGGAAAGTCTTATGGAGTAGACCTAGGCGGGAATATGACTACAGATTATTTATGGGCAGGACTTCAGCAGGAAACGGGCCATAAAACAGGCCACCCACCCCAGCTCACACGCGGTCCAGACGGCTCGGCCTGCTCCCTGCCTCTGCTGGCACGTGGATTTTGCAGGAGTGGAGTGGCACCGGGTTGCCCGAGCTTGTCACCCACCCGTGTGCACCACCGAACCCGTGTCCTCTGCAGGGCTCGTTCCGGATCTACCCCCTCCCGGAGGACCCCCGCGTCCCGGTCCCGCCGCGGCAGTTCCACCAGCTCCCGGCCAGGGGACCCCAGGAGTGTCTTGTCAGGGTCTACATCATCCGGGCCTTTGATCTGCAGCCCAAGGATGCCAATGGCAAGGTATGGAGGTGGAAACACCTGGGCACCGGCTGCAGCCGGGGACAGAGCGGGGCTCGTTGGGCAGCTCTGCCCCAGGGGTGGGTGTTTGCCTCTCTGACCTGCACTTCAGGAACACTGGGACACCACAAAGGGAAAAAACCTTCTCCTGCCTTCTCCCTGCAATGCAGTGGCTCTGCATGCCAGCGTCTTGGCTAGTTGAAACAGCAAAATGGTTTTCTTCTTGTGCCTTGGTGCCAAGGGAAACAAAATCACATCATCCACTCATCCACATGACTGCTTTTTTCTTTTTCTTTTTTTTTTTTTTTTTGCAAAGCTTTACAAATCTCTGGGAGAAAAAAATCAGTGCAAAAATCAAATCGTGCCAGTTCAAAAGCAAATGTTTGTTTTGTTTCAGTTTGAAAAACAAAAGAAAAAGCAAGAAAGCAAACAAAACTCCAAAACACTCAGGGAGAAATCCTCAATTCTTTTTGTTCCAATAAAAAATACAGAAAAAAAAAAGAAAAAAAAACAGAAAAAATATTTTGGTGTGAACAAAGCAGAACTGCTTTTTAATCTGCCGAGATTTTGAAAATGAACTTGCAATGAATGTTTCCAATTTCTTGGAAATTTCCCATCAGAGACCCTGGAAGATTAAAAAAGGAGTTGAAAAAAAAATGCTTTTTTTTACCCTGAAAACCTGAAACAAATCTCAGTGTGCCCCGCGGTCTTTCCTGCTGAGCTGCAGTGTCTCCTGCAGCTTGTCCCAGGCTGCTCTCTGGTCACACTGCCGACCTCCCCAAGGTGCCGCATTTCCATCCTCTGCTTCCGAAAAACCATCCGCAAGTCAAGGAAACCCGATGAGGAACCTGGTCTGGGTGCTTGGCTGGCTAATTATTTCCCAGCGGGTTTGTTAGTGTGATCTGAGTGTGTCCCTCTAAGTGCACAACATGAACTGGCTGGAGTTTTTTATCTGTAGTTTTCTTTTTTCCCTAGGAGAAACACCAGCTTGGGTCATTGGAACCACTTCACAATTTATGCTGGCTTCACTGAATCGTTTTAGCAATGGGAAAAAAAGTTTAAGCACTTAAAAATATGTAAAAATATCTGCTGTAATTTTTAGATGCGCAGTGAGAGTTTATATTAAAGTGAGTGTCCATTATATTTTAAGATTCTTGCAGCGTCTTGGCAATATTTAACATATTTTTTTTCTTTTGACATATCAATTTTCTTTTGACATTTTGGTCCCTGCACTTTTAAATATATTTTTGAGTAGATTTAATACTTTAACCTTTTAAAACTTAAAAAAACCACGAACCCCCAAGTAGATGACTCATAACGAGTGCATGAGAGCATCTTGAGAACTTCAGATCAATCCCGTTCCATCAAGCAATCCACAAGTGGTTCTTCTCATGCTGTTGTTTTGATTTTATGGTTGGTCTCCATGATCTTGAAGGTCTTTCCCAACCATAATGGTTCTATGATTTTCTACCCCATGGACCTCAGAAGGGTTTGGACTTTGGTTAGTCCTTCACCATCCTCAAAAGGGAACTGCAGAGCAAGCTGCCCTCACTGGTTGTCACAAGGATTTGTAATAAGGAGACGACAGTCTCATTGTCCCCTCTGTCTTGACAAGGAGCGTTAGTCAAGCGTGGTGTAAGATCCTGCTCGCTGGAACAAAAGGCATCGGTTACCTGCTTGCCACCAATATTGTTGTCAGCTCTGCAATGACTCCCTTGCATTTCTTTTTGTTCTGTCTTTAGTGCGATCCCTACGTGAAGATTTCGGTGGGAAAGAAATCCATAAACGACCAAGACAATTACATCTCCTGCACGCTGGAGCCTGTCTTTGGAAAGTGAGTTGTGGTTCACTCCGAAGTTCATGAAGTCTTCTGTGTCAGATTGAGAGAAGGCCAGGCCAGCGCAGAGCTTGCTCTTGCCTTGGTGTGCGCTCAGCCTTTGCTGTCCCGGCCTTGCATTCCTCTTCCTCTTGGGAATTTTAAGCTGTGGGGGATGGAGTGGGTCAATGCAGAGGGAGGAAACACCTAGATCTGAGGATCTCCTTGTGGAGACATCTATCTACCAATCCCCCTGATGGTGAAGGGACTCTGGGCAGCTCAGCTCTTCGCTCAGGCTCTGTGGTTGAAGGTCTAAAACGAGACATGGCAAGGGGAGGCCTGTGGCACGGCAGAGCGCCGCATGGGAGATGCTGGCGGCTTGAGTTGTCTCTCTCGCAGGAGGGCCACACACTTGGGATGAGACACAACGGCCAAAGCTGTTCTCGGAAGAGAGTACTGATGAGAGCAGGGAGGCAGGCCGCGAATGGCGGCGGGGAAGGAGGGAGAGCCCGAGGCGGCGCTCAGGGCAGGGTGTCCATGGGCAAGCTGGGCTCCCTGTGGGCAGCCGGGGTGCAGGGCCCCCCGCGGCAGCCGCGGGTCGCGGCCGGGCCCGTCTAGACGGCATGCGCCACCTCCCACCCCGCCGTTAAAGCCAGACGTAAAACCCAGGCCCTGGCGTCTATTAAAGCCTGGTTTCACGAGCCGGGGCTGCTGGCCGCCGTCCAGCTTGAGCTAATTGCATTCCGCTGACCCCGGCTCCTCCTGCGCTCTTAATTGGTGGCTTAATCACTCACTTCCCCTCCGCAAGGGCGGCTGCGACGTGGGGTGCTGGCCGCGGGCCTCGCGTGCCGGCCTGGCGGGGCTGCCCATCCGCGGCAGGTGGAGGGATCCCGGCCCAGCCGGGCTCGCCAGCCTCCGTGCGGAGCCCTCGGGATGACACGGATGTCTCTGGATTGTGGTGGTATGCTTTGGTTTGCTTTGGTTTGGTAGGGCCTTGGTGCTTTGCTGTCCTTCATGGCCCATGGTGTGTGTGCCCTTAGCAGAGCGCCACGGGTTTCTGCAGCGCTCCGTGGCCTTGCAGCACTTGGAGCTGGCGTTTTCCCTCTGAAAGGGCTGTGCTGAGTTGGGTTGGAAAGCAGTCTGCATTGCTTTGGGCTTAACGAGCAGAGGGATTTCCAAAGCTGTCATTTCTTCCCTTTTCTCTCCTTCCCATTTCTCTCCTGTGATCCCTGACCCTCTCATATGCTGGAATCCATGGTTAGATATTTTGGAGATGAGCATCCCTTCCATTTAGCAGAAGCGAAGCAGGGACAAGGTTTGCTCAAAAGTGATGCATGGGGTCATCAGCTAACCCCAAGCAACCCCAAGGCGTTTCTCCTTAGAAGCACGGCCCCCAGCTTAGCCATTGCAACACGGCAAAGATGTATCGGGGTTGTATTGTCCATTGATGTGTTGTGGTTGTATAGTCCATTGAGGTGTCGTGGTTGCGTTGTCCGTTGTGTCAGAAGGTTGGGATGATGATGTGTGAGCTCTGTGTCCTTGGAGGTGTTGGCAGCCTGCAGCAAGGCTGGAGGGTCCGGTGGGACACTGTGAACGTCCTGCCCGTTGGTCTGACTTGGCTCCCGTTGCGCAGGATGTTTGAGCTGAGCTGCACTCTGCCCCTGGAGAAGGACCTGAAGGTCACGCTCTATGACTACGACCTCCTGTCGAAGGATGAGAAGATTGGAGAGACGGTCATAGACCTGGAGAACCGGTTCCTGTCCAAATACGGGGCGCGCTGTGGCCTCCCCCAAACCTACTGCACGTAGGTACCTCTGATGGCTCCGGTAGTTCCTGGGGCTGTGCAGGCCTTGTGGCCCGAGCTGATGTCTCAGTCCAGCCCTGGCCGTGTGCCTGCTGGCTCAGGGTTGTCCTATGAGATCTGGTGCAGTGCTGGACTCCACAGCAATGTTCTATCTTCTCTCTACTGCTTTTCCTGAGCAGTGGCTCTCCTCTAGCAGCTTGAAATGCTGCAGAGAACAGAAGTCTCCTGGGGAGATCCTCCTGCATCCTTTTGGGCATCCCACGGTGAGGGCAGACCCTAAATGCAAACAAAGGGTGGTGTGATGGTCCCACGGTGTTTGCTCAGGGGCGCCCTACAAGCAGGGGCTGTGCTGGGCTAGGATGTGGCACCCTCTTCACCGGGCTAGGGCAAACAGGGGCTCAGAGCCGTCTGGATCTTCCGTAGACCTTTCTGGGCTCCTCACCGGTTGCTGTGTCTCCGTGTTCAGCCTGGGAGTCTCCCAAGCCCAGGAATCCCTTCCCATCCTGGTGTAATGCTGCTGCGAGCCCTCACCGGGGCTGGGGACTGTTTTGCCGTGTGTTGAGCTGCTCTTTTCTCTCCTGCTGTGCTTCAGGTCAGGCCCCAACCAGTGGCGAGACCAGCTCCGGCCATCCCAGCTGCTTCACCTCTTCTCCCAGCAGCACAACTACAAGGCTCCCACCTACAAGGCTGACCGCCTTGTCTTCCGGGAGCAGGAGTACATCCTCTCGGAGTTGGGTATGGAGCACACGGCTCGTCCTTGCCCCGAGCAAGACAGGGGGGCTGGATGTCATGCACGGGGGACTCCCTTCCCCAGCTCCCTTCCATCAGAGTAGGTCAGCAAACCGGGAGCAGGACATGGGCACGTTCCTGCCCCCCTCGGGTAGCTGCCTGGCCACGTGGCTATGGGACAGCCCCAAGGTTGGCTCTGCAGCTTGCACTTGGATCTGCACCAAACCCTGGGGCTGAATTCAGACCCCAAATGCAGGCCCTTGAACCTCATCCTTCTCTTCAGTGATTTCCCTTTAGCAAACCAAGGTGGGGACAGCAGTGTCCATCCCAGCAGAGACCCTCCAGCCTGGTCCGTCCTCGCGCTGGCCGAGCACTCGGGCTGCTGGTGCTTTGGCCTCACGTGTCTGTGTTTTGGGGCTGGAGTCACTAGAGGGAGACAATATCATACACACCAAGGCAAGGCACAGCGCCCGCCCGCTTGTGCATTGGGAGGTGACTGCTCTGGAGCTGGAAATGTGAAAGGAGTCCGTGCCAGCAAGGAGACAATGTGCCTTGAGTCTTGGGGAAGGCTTTTGCTTAGTTGCACCAAAAAAAAAAAAAAAAAAAAAAACCAAAAATATAATAATAAAAGAGTAGCTGCAGTTCCTTGGGCATCGTCTGGTGCCTTGTCTGACTGGCATCCACGGAGGCAGAGTTTTGCTGCTTAGAGAAAACGTTGCTTCGAAGCATGCAAGGGGTGTTTTCACCCAGGGACGAGGTGAAATCCCCCTGTATTGGGCCCAGGAGCAGTTGGACAAGCCAAGGGCATTACAGGACTGCAGAGTCGTGGCGGGGGCTCTGCAGCAGGGGCCTGGCACGAGGCACGGCCGCGCTCTCATTCCCTCTCCCTGCTCGTGGGACTCGAGGCAGAAACGTGCAGTGCTCCCCGTAAGAGGAGTGGGGCGATAGCTGCCCCTTCCCAGGCTCTGCTTCTGAGTCAGGCTTGCACCGAGGGCTGGGGAGGTGTTCAAGTGAGCGGGGTCTATCCCCCTCGCCCAGCCCCTGCCTTTCACCTTCCTTTGCTTTAATGACAGTCAGTTCAAAAAGCCAGAGCTGAGCCTGCTGCTTGACCTCGAGGAGATCTGGCGAGCAGCTGTGCTCGCCGAGCAGTGTCGGAGCTGAACCTGGCCGCATAAAGCGGGGCTATTAAACACGAGAGCATGGCTTTTACAAGCATTGTGCCCGGCCGTTATTCCATAACCCCCACGTTTGTTGTTCTCTGAGAGAGGCTTTCTCTTTTTCCTGTGCGCTTGCTCACACACGCACGCACGCCAGGTTTCCATTGCTTGGGAAACAGCCCATATGTATGAAGTTAACCACTGCAAGATATTGCCAAGAAAGGAGCTGGGATATATCACCTGAGAGCTGCAGAGCTGTAATAATATTTATGGAGCGCGTTTCATTTCAAAGGTGCTCCGAGGCGCGTGGCCTTGGAACGGCGTGGCTGGGCACGTTGGGTGAAGTCCCTTCCCGTGGGTGAAGTCCTTCCAGGAGCTGCAGGGCCATCCTGGGGCAGGGAGGAGAGCCAGGCTTAGCTGAGGCCCAATGGTCTTATCTGGATGTGACATGGGAACTTGAGTTCCCATGCCCAGAGACGGAAAAACCATGAATTAGTTCTTGGCCTCATTCAACAAGAGTGAGCAATATGCTCTTACCAAAGCAGAAAAGTTGCGCATGGAGAAGGGTGAAGGTGCAGAGGGGATTTTGTTTGCTTGCATACTGCAGCAGAACAGCTCTTTTCATGTCCTCTCCTTGAAGAACTTCAAGCACACGTTAGATAGATGTCCCGCATGAGGAGCAGCCTCTTCTTGAGGTGCAGATGAGTATCTGGCTCCTTCTGCAGTAACGTTGCTCTCCATCTGTGTGTGGCAGAGGATGGCAAGCCCGCCAACCCGCACCTGGGGCCCGTGGAGGAACGGCTCGCCCTGTACGCGCTGCGGCGGCAGGGCTTGGTGCCCGAGCACGTGGAGACGAGGCCTCTCTACAGCCCTCTGCAGCCCGAGATCGAGCAGGTGAGTACAACAAGACCAAGAGCAACATCTCCCCATGGGTCCAGATGCTTCTTGTGGCCTGGGAGCGTCTTTTCCAGGATGGTGTTTCCCATCCTTCCTCGGAGATGGTTCCTGTAGCTGATGCACTGGGACCCCCATCCTGAGGATAGCTCTGCTGGGATCAGGGCTCTTCCTAGGGAGCAGAGTCGGCTTGGGCAGTGGAGCTGAGCACTCGCTCCGCGGTGCAGGCTGGAGCTCAGCTCTGCGTCTCGCTTTCTCCGGGTGCTTGGGGAGGTCAGCTCCAGACCCTGCAATAGGTTTTCATTTCCATCAACGTTTGCCCTCAGAAGAATGTCTTTTTTGTGGAGAAGCTGTTTTTGGTGTAGAATTCCATGTTAGCTGTAATGAAAATAATACTGCAGGCTGCTGTGACGGCAGCTGAGCAGAGCACTGTGGTTTCTGCCGCGAGAAGCAGCCCTTGGAGGTATTAAACGTTGGGGCTGCCGCAGATGGGGTGTTGCTAAGCCAGATGGAGTCTAAACGGGCTTTCCTCCAAATCTCAGCAGCAAACAGGTACCTGTGTTGAGCCTAGCCCCTTTCCTTTGGTTATCACCCATCGGTACTTTGTGCTTCGGGTGCTGCTCCCCCAGGAACAGAGCAGTTAGTTAGCGTGCGTCCTGCGGGCTGCAGCCACATTGCGGGCCGGGCTCGGAGGCAGGCTCTGCCGCTGGCCCTGCCGTGCGCAGGCAGCCGCTGCAGCCCCCAGTGCCTCCCGATTAGCCCCTGTAATGCCTTTCCCTGTTGATTTACCCCGTGGACATCCCGGTGGGGCAGGTTGTGAGTGGTGGAGCAGCGCGTCTGTGCCGTTCTTACAGGCACCTCTGTCACGGGCTTGCTCGATGGACCCTGGGGACTAGCCGGAGTGTGTCCCATCGCGAGCAGCATTGGGGTCCCTGGGGACGGTGGCGGGCAGCAGCAGTCGGTTGCATGCAGCCGAGCTCCCCAAATCAGGCTCTGAGCCGCTGCAAAGCCACAGTGCAAGCCGGCCGTGCCGGGCGCGCTGTGCTGGGCAGAAAGCCCCCTTGGGCTTTAGGGTTTGCTGCTGAAACCGAAGGTTTTCCTGCCAGGAAACCAAAGGAACCTTCGACCTCTCTGTGATGGGCTGATTGTCAAAGGGTATTTCTTTCTTTAAACTGTATCTCCATGACATTGCACAGTAAAATGTTTTATTGGCACCCATTGGTGTTTAACAGTTAAAGGGGCCACCTAAAAAATAGTGACAAAAAATAGCAAGATTTCAGCTGCTTCTTTGCTGCTTTCTGCCTGGAAAGTTTGTGTGAAGGTGGAATTACCTTCCCCTCTCCCTATCTTCCATTCCCCTTTTCAGACATTCATAAACCAACTGCCCGGCTGGTGATGGCCAGTGGGACAGCATGGACAACCCTTGATTTTCAGCTAGGGTTGAAACTAGAAATTTCAACTAGAAAATTCAACTAATTTCAACCAGAACACTGAACCCTGGGTTCTTTCAGAGATTGCTGTCTCCACTTCTAGGTGTTTCCAAGGAGGTGAAGGGAATCCAGGCGTGAGGATCACCTCACATCGTGTCTTTCTTTCCATGCAGGGAAAGCTGCAGATGTGGGTGGACCTGTTTCCAAAATCCTTGGGTCAGCCTGGTCCCCCCTTCAACATCACGCCCCGCAAAGCAAAGAGGTGACTCTTTTATTTGCTTCTTGCTAGTTTTTGCTTGGTGCAATACTAGCACCTACCCTGCACGTTCTGTTTGCCAGGGGAGAAAAGAGAGTCTGGAAATGTCAGATGGGGATGGATTCTCCTTCCCAGAGGAGAAATGCCTAGATGGAAGGGGTAACCTTAGCTCCAGCAGGGCTGCACAGGAGGGGCATCACAGTGGAACGACCTAAAGCCTTGACGTTGTCTTTGATGTCATCTCTGTGCTGGATGTATCTGCTAACGTGGGACAGGCCACAGGATGGTTTCGTGGTTGGCCATGGAGAGAGTTGCAAGGTGTGGCACTGCAACGTCCTGCACCTGGCAGTGAATGTTGGGGGGGGTACTCAGTATAAGCTTTGAAGGCAGCAAGCACTTAATGCAGATTGTTATCCATGGGTTTGCCTCTCTGCATTAGCGCATGAGTAACATGGCCAGGCTGTCCTGGTGGGCTCTAGACCAAGATTCCCTGGAGAACCCTCACATTGCTTGAAATTACCTGGTAGAAAGCGAGTCTCAAACATCTCTAGGTTCCAGACAAGTCCACAGGGCCACCAGAAGCTGCGTGTGCAGGGAGGTTGGACTGGATGAGCTCTGGAGGTCCCTTCAACCTTAAGCATTCTGTGATTCTGAGCCTGTGGCCTCTCATGTCCCCCTTGTCTGTCGTGGTGCAGGTTCTTCTTGCGCTGCATCGTCTGGAACACAAAGGACGTGATCCTGGATGACCTCAGCATCACTGGGGAGAAGATGAGTGACATTTACGTGAAAGGGTGAGTCCTGCTTCTGCCTCCCGTGACACTGTCGTCCCAAAGCGGACGGAATTAGCGGCGCCCTCGCATTAACACTGCTTGTGGTAGGCATGAGCCTCCCACAGGGATGAAGGGCCCTTCATCTTCCCAGCTATAATTCCAGCTTCTTGGGACATGCATCTCCGCACACTTACCCTCACTTTACATCATCGAGGCTTTCTTTGCATCTCTAAGATCTATATTGAGGGAGAAAAGACGTGAGAAAATACCCTAGCCACTGGGGAGAGGGACACACGTTTTCCAGCCCCCAGCCCTTTGCCACCTCTTCCTCTGGGACGGCCGCTCTGTACAGCTTCTCCTGCATACATAGGTTAGCTTGTTTGCATAGCTTTGAGGGAATTCCCTTTATTTTTTCTTGAAACACACACAAAAAATGTGGCAACCAGCAGTAACTGCTCTGGCATGTTCCCCTCTCTGCCTGACCCCATTTGTGTTCTATCCCGTGTAAAATGCTCCCGTCTCAGCCAAGAGGCTTACTTATTTTGTATGCTCTTTGGATTTATGGACAGGAAAAGGTAGGCTTTTGAAACAGACTGTAAATCCCCCTTTTACAGTCCCAGTTTTCCTCCTGCAGATCCCGAATGCGCGCTGCTTACCTGCTGTTCGCATCAGGGGCACTGTTACCAGCTCCAGCTAGGCTGCCCGCCGCTTTGGGGCTCTGGGGTAGCAGCGTTGCAGGGGTTGCGGGGGAAGAGGAGCATCCAGCACTCGCTGATGCTCCTTGCCTGGCGTTTCGCACTCTCCTTGCCCAAACGGCACTGGAAATGAGTTAAAAATCTTGCTCACCTCCCTCATCCTTCCAAAAAATAATCCACCAACAAGGCTACATCATGATCGTCTTTCTGGGTGAGGAAATAATGGAAAAAGACAAAACTACCCCCTCCTTCCACCCATGACTAGCCCTGTCAGCAGTGTTCAGTGTGAGATGGGTGGACACGCAACTCTTACCTGGTGCTTGTCTGTGGAAGATCTCAAGGAGCTTCTCTGGGGAGGCTATTGCCTGTTTCCTCTCCGTTTCACAGATAAATTGCCCATTAGGCAGTGCTAGGGTGGGAATCTCAGGCTCGTGGATATTGTTTTCTACGTAATAAGTAAAACATTGCCAGGTCAGTTTTGCAGTAAATGATAGAGGTGCCTTTTTATCATGCCTATGACAGAGCTTGCTTGCCTTTTATTTAATTTGTGATTTATCGATAGCCTTACAGCAGCATGAGAATTTCTCGGATAAGATTAGGTCTTGATTGTGCTACGTTCAGGGCGTAAAGAGTCTTTCTCCTCCTAAGCATCCTATATTCCCATATATTCTCCCTATATCCCCTGTGATATAGGCAGATATAAGAGAGCTAGCGTAGGGAAATCGTGTTCATTAAGAACTGAAAGTGTTCTGGGGGTGGATAGCTCTGTCCGGGCTACATTAGCAGTATCATAGATATATTTTGGTATTGTTTTCAAAGACAAATTCCTAGTAAAAGAAGTTTTATTTCACTGGGAGCAGCAGGGGGTCCCGTGAGGTTTTCAAGACAGGACTAGGCAAAACCACTCCAAGCAGGTGGGATGGAGCTTTCCAGAGCCCCATTCCAACCATCCAGCAGTACTGGGATTTACACCAAACTATCTGGGATCTTCAATACCCTAAGTGAAAGGATGGTCTTGGTTCTCCGAGGCTCTACACATATGCTGAGCTCAGTAGGAGGTGCTGGAGAATACGTCCACGTTGGTAAATCTGCACAAATGTGGATGTCAGAACCGAGCTATGCCTTTGGGTACTGCAGAAACCTTAAGCTGCATGGATTCAAGAAATATGGACAAATTAATGGATTAAAACTCCATAAAAACACACACATTATCTACAGGAATTCTCAGACCTGCAGTTTGTCAGGAGCTGGCGTGTTGTGGTGGGAAGGTGTCTCTGTGCATCTGCCCTGTTCTGGTGGTCTTCTCTAGATGTTTGTGTTGATTCACCATGGTTGTCGCTGTGTTTTGAATTCCAGGATGGTGTGATTTGAATGGGTTGGATTTCTGTTGAATGGGGTTGGTTTCTGTCATGGTTTCTGTCATGCAGTGAAGAGGCTGCAGCAAATTCTGCAAGAAAAAACCCCGTGGTGCCAGCAAAGTGGCCAGATCCGATCCTTTATCCATGCTTCGGTTTGCCTGCAAGGCGAGGGCGCTCACACTGCGTCGTCTAAGGAGCCCTGCCTAGCTTTAAAGCAGGAACAAACACCCAGGCCTGCCATTCGGATCCAATCAGAGCAAATCCAATAATCCAGCCACAATCTGAGTATTAGCGTAACCTCATCACACGCTTCCCAGTGCCACTGAGCCCTCGCCGGGTGGGTAGCACATGTGCATGAGGTCTCTGCTGTAGCATGAACTTGAGTAGACCTCTCTTCTCCGTCCCCCCCAGACATTTGGGTCTGTCATGTGCTCCTCTGGGGCGCTGCAGAAGAGGGAATCATTCCTGTAGCTGGACAAAAAAAAACCCATATTTTCAATTTAAGTGGAAAACAATTAAACAAGATGATTGTTTTAATTAGAAATGCCCCCTGAATCTTTTGGCTTCCCTCCAGAAGGCCTGTGAATACACAAATGGATTTGTTTTCTTGTTCTGTTTTGTTCCATTGATTGCTGAAGACCCAAAAATCTTGGACGGGGAGCGAAGGCTGAATGAAACCCCAGCACTTGCAAAACTCCCCCCTGGAAAAAGCAGTTGTGATGGAGAGTTTTGTGTGTGCCCCTGCGCTCGCTGGGTGGACAGCGAGTTTCACCTCCAGGCCAGGAACTGTGCTGCAAAGGCCGGTCTCTACCAGGGAACAGCTGGGGATCGCTGTGGCCAGGCCAGGGAGCCACGTGGGGAAAAGTTGCTTGGTCCTTGAGGACTTTTGGCTTATCTGGGCTTTTGGACCCAGCAGAGCGTAGGGGAGAAAATAGTCCTGCTGTTCCAGCATGGTTGCCTCCATCTGGAGGTTGGTTTTAGGGGCGAGCTATGAGGTTAGTTTGCTGGATGCAGGGGGAGGACCTCTCATGAACCCAGGCTGGAAGCCAACCTGTTCTTAGGGATGGAGAAGTGACAACTTCTTAGCTTAGTGCTATAGTGAGTCTTTAATATACCCAAAAGGTTAGGAGAAAGGAGAGAGAGGTGAAGAGTTTCAAGCACGTCTTGAACTGCTTTCACCAGCAGTTCATCCTCTTCTTCACCTCTGGTTCATCCCTCAGCCCTGCAGGACCATCATATTTCCTCTCAGACTCCTACGGGCTCTGGGCTACCCTTACAGAAAGCGACCCAAGGCATCTAGCAAGGGAGTGAGACCCTTTATTGCCTCTTCACAGTCTCTGTGAAATGGGGCGAACTGCTCCAAAACCCTCCGTTCGTTCCTAGTTCTTCATGCAATGTATTTCCATTTGCTAGCTGGATGGTCGGCCACGAGGAGAACAAGCAGAAGACAGATGTGCACTACAGGTCTATGGGCGGAGAGGGCAACTTCAACTGGAGATTTGTCTTTCCCTTCGACTATCTCCCTGCTGAGCAAGTGTGCTACATCGCCAAAAAGGTGAGTGTCCCTGCGTGGGCATTCCTAGCATCTGCCTTCCCATAGCAACTCCAAGGTGAATCCAAGATACTTGGTCAACAACAGGGTTACTCCAAAATTGATGATTTGTCCTCTGATGGACTGATGGAGACAGTCGGGTGTGCATCTCTGGGGGACAGCAGAGGGGACATGTAGGGGAACAGGACCTGCCTTTGATGCAGAGATGGCATGTGTTTGGGATTCAGGAGGAACATACCCTTGGATTAATAAAGGAGGAAGATGTCCTTAGATTGATAAAAGACCTGATTACTGGGCTGAGGGGCTGAAAACGGGCTGTGATTTTGGTCCCCTCATTCCACCATTCACAGCTGCTCTTCCCTAGTCAGGTCAGTGCAGTGTGATGCACAAGTGTGGGCTGGGAGTTGTCTGGAGGGCAAGAAGTGGAGAGAGGTGCAATGAAGCCGTGGAATAACACAAAGGAAAACTGCCTGGCTCTCAAGGAGCGCTTTGGGGGAGGGCATCTGCTCGCTTGGTTTTAAATTTCCTTCTCCAGCCACCTGGACATTAACTGCGCTCCTGTCGGGTTTGTGTGTCCGCGTGGAGAGCAGGGACAGGCTCTGCTTTCCAGACTGGGTCCTGCTCTGCGGCAGCACCAAAAGCACCGGTTCCTTCTCCCAACCCCGCCGCGAGGCTTTGGTCCCGGCCCTGCCTTGTCCCCCTATCCTTGGTCGCTGCAGCCTTTGAGTAGAGGGTGACCAGAGCCAGCTCGGGGACCATCAGCTTCCACGCGGCTCCCCGGGCAGCCCCATCCCAGCTTGTTTCATGGGGACCAGTAAGATCCCAGCACGAGCCGGCCCTTGGGCAGGGGGATGCCGAACAAATTGGCGCTCCCTCGAGCCAGACGATCCCCACGCCGGGGCCTGGCTTCACAATGAGTCGCCGGGGCCGTAAAGTTGACTGGCAGAATCACAGCGGGGCCCGTTTCACGCTTCATGTTAAACAAATCAAAAGTACAGTGTGTACTACATTCAATTATCCCCCTTTGAAAAAGCAAAGACCCCCCTATAAACCGTTTAAGAAAATACATCCCACTGTGCTGATATTGATTCTCCTCCGACCGCATGTCTGCCAACACTGTATCAGAAAATAAACAGCTTGTAAAACCTCTCCGTAAAGGAAAAAATAATGAATGAAAAGCCAGGCTTTGTATTTGCGGGACACATTCCGCTCTGGCCATTTTTGATCTCGCCATGTGCTGTTTGAACTCCAGGTTCATTACTGCTGCTGTAAAAGCCCCTGCGCCCAACTTGAAACGCAGGCCATGGAAAGTGGAATTTAAATCAAAACGGGCAGATGGCGAAGTCGGAGCTGCTAAAAGCCACCTGCAGCCGGGCGGCCGGCGCGGGAGAGCGGCTCCGGTTCGGCTCCGCTCTCCTGCTCCGCTGCCCGTGGGTGCGCGGCTGTGGCCAGGGCCGTTTAACCCATGGCACGAGGCTGGACGTTTTGGGGGGCTCAGCTCCGGAGCTTCAGCGCTCTGGGATCACGAGGGTGCTCAGGGCTTCCACCTTCCCGTTGCTCCTGCCTGGTGGGAAAGCTGGAGCCGGGAACATCCCGCAGCGGCGGTTCAGCAGGTAGGTTGGAAGTGTGAGCGTAGCTTAGCTTAGAAAAGCTCAGAAAAGTGGCTGCTTTTCTAAATGTCAGTCCCTTCTGCGTGTTTGCCCTCCAGATATCCTCTCACTGCAGGGAAACTTATGAAGTTTTTGCTTCTCATTCTCAAATAGGGATTTCTCCCATCCTGAATTTCAAAAAGGAAAATCCCTACAAAAAAAATCAGCATCCCAGTGTTAGAACTGCTCTTTCCCAAGCACCCGGATGTGTTTCCTCCTACGTGCTCCCTTTCTCGCTGAGCAATCGAGGCCATTTCCCGCGAACAGAAGGTGAAGCTCTGGTGCAAGGGTCCATGTGCAGGGCGTGCGGGAGCCCCGTTGCTGGGGCGGACGGGTAGACGGAGCCTCCCCGGCACGACTGCATGAAGTTGCACGTTGACTTTCCTCCTGGCAGATGGAGCACCATGTTCCGCTGCCAGCGAGCGGGGAAAGGAGCCGATCTCTACCGAGCTTGGACTAAAGTCCAAGACCTGGATGCCCAGGTCTAAGGCCAGCAGGTCTTGGTCGCTGCAGAGAGCTTTATCAGATGGTCACGGTGCTCCCGTTGCTCCCCATGGATCCCGTTTCACTGGGCACCCGCTCAGAGCAGCGTTGAGCTGCCGAGTCCTGGAGGCACCGGCGAGCAGGGAGAGGCATGAAATCCGTTTGGAAACGCTCAGCTGCAAGTGCCAGGGACCGCGTTGGTCCAACAGAGCAGCCAGATGTGAACTCTGGATATCCTCAGATGGGGAAAGGCTCCATGCTGAACGGGGGAGCTAATGTTACCTGCATTCAAAACAGGATTTTAGGGTCGCCTCTGTATGCAGGTTAATAAATAGTGGTGTTTGTGCAGGCCTGGAAGTAAATGCTTGGGTTGGAGGATCCGTGGGCTGGTTGGGTTGGTTGTACACCAGCCCGTGAAGGCATTTCCAGGAGATGGAGTGCTGCGGATGGGAACACAGTGGGCAAATCTGTGTCACCCCACGTCATTGGCAGCAGCCAGACCAGGCAGCACGGCTGCTGTCTTCACCCCGGTCTGGCCTTAGTCCTTGGGGTTGGCTGTGAACAAGAAATGAAGTGCGGGTGCCAGAACACGAAATGGATTGTTTTGCAAAGACAGAGAGGCATTCGGAGAGGAAACTTTGCAGTGGGGCACGGGGTGTTTGCTTGGAGGGAAGGCTTTGGGGCAGCTCTGGCGAGATGCTTTTTCGAGGAGCAGTTGCATTCCTCAGCTTTCCTTCTCTCTGTGCGTGCAGCTAAGGGGGCCCATCTGAGTGTTAAACAGACTTACTGCAAGCTACTGCGTGCAAATGCAAACTGGCTTTGAGATGGAGCTTTTGGGACCATCAACAGATAAAATTCCCACTTTTTTTTTTTTGTCTTGAACATACAAAATGTAGGTTGGATTGTATGTCTCAATAGGTAGCCAATTTCTATTGATCCTCAGGTGTCCTGGGACATCTGGATGGCCAGGACTTGCCCCGTGAGGATGAGTTCTTCATCCCAGAAAGGCAGGTACCATGGAAGGTGATGGGGTGGACACATGGGCATCTTCAGCTGAGTTGCTGTTGCACGTGGTCGTGCAGGATAGTGTGAGGACTATTGCAATGGCTGGGAGATACCAGCAGTGCTTGTGCAGACGTGGTTGAATAATCTTCACCCCGTCACCAAGGCTGTGCCGGTTCATGCTGAAGGCCCCAGGTGTGCTGAGCTGAGCTCTGAATACAGCAGCAAAGCTGACTTTTGGAGGGCACTTTATATGACTCGCAGCTCCATCTGCTTCCATGAGTCCCTTGGTCTGCAGGTTTGTTCGGGTGTCCGGACACCTTCCTGGTGGCGATGCCGGGAGCTGCGAGGTGCCAAACCTGGGGCATGTCAAGCCCTGGATTCCTCTGGTCCCACAGGTTTATACTGTAGTGTTTGCACCCAAAGCTCCAGTGCAACAAGGCAGGTTTGTTGCTTCGGTGCAACCGTGGTTGGTTTTGGTTTGAGATCTCCAGTATCGCATTGTGTTTTTTCTTAAAAACAAGTAACATCTTGTTAAATTGAACATTTTCATTCCTTTGTAGTCCTTTACTGTGCCCCTATTTATTCAGTGACATCAGAAAACAATGAGAAAAAAAAAGTTCATTTTCTTTCTGCATTTGGCCAAAATGTAGATTGCAACAAAATATATTTTGGAACCCAAATGTGCTCCAAATGTGTGTTTTTTTTTCCCAGAGGAGACACAGCCAGATGAAGGAATCGTATCTTTTGTGTTTTAATGAGAGAGAAATAAGCGTGTGGAAGGATCCGGGGTGCGAGGGCTTGAGGAGGAGGCCGAGCAGCGATGCCGGGGCACCTCCTCCTGTCCTGCATTCTGCTTCCCGAGGGATGCATGGAAAAGGGATGAGCAAAGCGTGACCATTGCCGCTCGCCAAGCGGCCGAGCTGCCGGCGCGCGAAGCTCCTGGGTGGCAGCGGGATGTCCATGTGGCCTTGGAAAAGCCCCCAAAACTCCTCCAGAAAAGCCCCAAAGTCTCCACCCGAAAAGCAGGAGCCGGAGAGCGCTGCATTGCCGCTGTCCCGCTGCACGGAGGCAGGACGTGTCCTCCAGCCATGGTGATGGGGCGCTTCATCTGCAGCTGCTTCCAGCACGTACCCTGGCTCCGTGCTCCAAAGGGGAAGAGATTTGGAGCTTCCCAGCCTTGCAGATAACGGGTGAGGTGGCTAAAGAGAGGGGGTCTCACGCGTCACCTGGCGCTGGGGCTTGCGGGAAGCCCCCAAGAGGCTAACGCCAAAGCCCCGGGGAAGAGCGAGTGCCGCGGGAGCCGGGGTGCGAGGGGGGAGCCGGCCACCGCGCGGAGATCAGAGGGGCCACCTAGTGCAAGCCAAGTGGAATCGTGAGCGGTTTCAGCTGGCTGCTTATTGCGAACAGATGAGAGCCCCGACGCGACGGGCCCTTTCCCGACACCTCGGAGCGGGGCCGGGCGCAGCGGGATGTTCCCGCGGGAGAAGCGGCTCTTCCCGGCTGCCCGGGGCCGGGAGAGCAGCCGGCGGAGCAGGGAGGACCTTGTGCATCCCGGAGCAAAGCCTGTGCCAGGCAGGGCTCCGAGATAACGTGCCCTTGCACTTGGCAAACCCAAGCGACCCAGCAGAAACGCAGCCCTGTCAACGCTTGCCCAGCGATACGAGCTCTTTTCCCCCCTTTATTCTGCCTCCCCTGCTGCATTAGTCAAGACCATAGAATATTTGCCGGCCTCCCCTCTCCTTCCTCCGCCTGCTCTGCAAAACAGCCCCCGAAACGTGAATTCCTGGCGGAATAGCCTTGCGAAGGGCTAGGCAGTAGTCGTTGCGCCCTGGGTTGGTTTCGCAGCGCGGCTTAGCTGCGGAGGCCGGGGCCTCGCCGGCTGCCTCCCGGCCCGGCCCTGCTGTCCCCGGCTGCGCGGGAGGAACGTGGCCCCACGGCCGACCCCACATTCCCAGGGGTTTTCCAAGGGGAAGGCCAAGGCCGTTGGAGCTGGCGCTGGCTCCGGCGGGCAGCGTCGCCGGCCGGCGCGGGGCTCGTCCTGCCCGTGTCACGGGTGTCCCAGCGAGTCTGCGGCGGGTGCACACGGGGCCAGCAGAGACGGTTGGTTTCCTTGCCCTGCAAAGGTGAAGAGCTGCTGCGCTGTGAGGGTGCAGAGCCCTGGCCCAGGCTGCCCAGGGGGGCTGTGGAGATCTCCCAAACCCGCCGGAATGCGCCTGGGTGCCCTGTGCTCTGGGTGTCCCTGCTGGAGCAGGGGCTGCACTGGGGGATCCCGAGGGATCCCTGCCAACCTCAACCATCCCGGGATTCTGGGATTCCGGGGGATAGAGACCCGGCTGCTTTGGAGGTCACTTTGAGGCACCTGCAGCTCCTGCTGGCTCCCCGCTAAGCTCCGGGCGCTCTCCTGCTCCCTTTGAAGAGCTCAACCCCATCGGGGACCACCTGGATGACGGGATTGCTGCAGCAGGTCAGTTTGGCTGCTCAGCAAGCAGCAGTTTCTCTCGCTCTGCTCTGCTTCCCCATTAGGGTGCTCATGGGTCCCCATCAGGGCACTTACGGGATGAGGTCTTCCATGGAGACCCACCTTGGAGGCCAGCACTACCATCATCAGTGCCTTTGTGCTCAGAGGGGCTGCTCAGGCGTTGAGTTTTGCTCAAGTGTCTCATGCTCCGGGTGTGGGAAATGGTGCATTGGAATGGGCCAACGGGTGGTTTGTGCGGTGGGACTTCATCTCCTGCGTGGAGATGGAGGGGTTGAGCACAGTGCTTGTGGGTGCCTCTGGACTGGCACCAACTCAGCAGGCGCTGGGGTTGTTGGACAACTCCAGGGGTTCTCCCTTGGTCACCCCAGCAGCCCTCCTGCAGCACAAGACCCGGCTGATGTATGAGAAAGGAAGAGTCGCCGTAGGTTTTTCCCGCTTTTAGCAGTTTTCATTTAAAAGGAGTTGTTAGCTTGGAAACGGCACCCTTCCCCCTGCTTGGGTCAACACAGAGCTTAACGCGTCTCAGCGAGGCAGGGGGGAGCGATCGAAGTTTCCACGCGTCTTATTTTATTTTCCTAGATTAAAAAAATTTTGAAACGTGTAAATAAAATGCTCTGTTGCAAAAATGCTGGTCTATTTTTCCAAAGCAAGGCAGGGAACGGGCCTAAGTTGAAATATAACCTTGTAGGGTGATCTCCTAAAGTGAGAGCAGTTTCCCTGGGACTGAAGTGCCTCCCTCCACCCACAGGCTCCCTGCTTGAATATTTATGTTCTTATGGAGTGCGACACGTTCCTTGTTTTTTTTATATTGCTCGATAGAATGAATCAGAGTTTTGTAGCCACCGCAGTGAATTTATGGTGCTACGTATGTGTTGTGAATAATGCTGAGGTTTCCTGGGTTTAATTAAATGGGCTCCCTCGCTGCGGCTGCGCTGCTCGGGAGATGCTGCTCCGGCCTTCGCTGCTCCGGGCTCCTGCAGCCACAAACAACAAGTGCTGGCTCTGCGTCTCCAGCCTTCTCCCTCAACGTCCTAACACGTCTTGGTCCTGACTTTTAGGCTTCGTCTGGCACGTTAAAAGTGGTGGTAGATCCCTCGTGGGAAGTATTAGGAGTTGCAGCCACATGAATAGCTCCTTCTGCGGGGTGGGCGAGTAGCCAGCGTGTATCGTGGTGGCAGGACCACAAGCTCGTTGTCACAGTACTGGGATTCAAAGGCTGCTTGTTGGAAGAACCTGATTTAACAGCTCTTCTCCATTGGCTTTTGGAGAAGTGATGGTCTGCAAGTAGAGCATCTGGAAAGCTCTGGTCCTACCAACCAGCATAACCATGTGGCTGGCTGGTGAGGTGAGTTTGGCAGTGCTGGCAAGCACCACTCAGTGCTGTCTTCACCATGGAGGGTACCTGAGTAGCTCGTGGGCATCGTGCAAATCACGTGCACGTGGTCCTGTGACTCCCAAGGAGAACTTACGTGTGAACTCAAACGGTGCCACCAAGTAAATGAAGGCACAAGGCAATACCTACCTGACTGCCAGGAGCACCGGGCATCTTCCACCGAGCACCTTTGTCCAAGAGCTTCCAGGCTGAAGTCAGCACAGGCCTCCTGGACGTCTCCCTGCAAGATACAGGAGGGTGGAGGCCACAGAAATTTAAGTTCTTGCCTGCTTTTGCTAATGGGATTCTTTTTTTCCTGATTTATTTTTCTGGTGTGTTTTTAGGAGCACTTCTGGAGCTTGGACAAGACTGAAAATAAGATTCCACCACAGCTTATCCTGCAGATCTGGGACAATGACAAGTTCTCCTTTGATGACTACTTGGGTGAGTGGGGAGATGTTTGTGGCTCTCCTTAATAGGGGAGAATTATTGGCCACAATCCTCTTTATAACCCATTTTATATCCTCTGTTTCTAGCCACTTTATATGTCTGCCTTTGGTGCAGTGTCCTCCAGAAGCAGCACGTCTGACCTTTGAGCCCTCTCCAGCTCATTTCCATGCTGGTTGCTGTGTCCTTTCAGACGGGACCTTAAGATCTCAGGGTCCTGTCTTGCTTTAATCGGGATGTTTATATAGAAACACAGCTGGATCTAGCGCTTGCTTCTGCCAAGGCTGGCCTAGCTAATCAACCTCACCAATCGAGGGTTAGGCCAGGAAGGAATAAAATGTCCTCTAATACGAAACATCACAGTGCCATGCAGTAGATGATCTGTGCAGAAGTTGGAGATTTCAACATCAGGATTTTTTGGCTTGGATCTTGCTCTGCCTTTGTTTTGGTCACTAAAGAATTTTCAAACGTCAGAAATGTCACTAAGCAAGTGGGTGATCGAGACCCTTTTAAAGCCTTAACCTTGGATTCATTTGGCTGCTTTTTGTTCCCATTCGTGGTCTATAAAAGTGGTGTCTCTACTGTAAGGTGCCTTCCTCCACACAGCACCAGCTCTTGTTTGCTCTCCTCCATACAGCAGCCAACATCAAATTCCTTGCAAAATCCTACAAATGAAAATGCTCCTTGACTTTTGTATAGCACTTTTCTTCAATGGACCTCAAAAAACTGATTTCTTCAGTTATTGGCCTTGGATACCAGAAACTGTGGCACAGAAAACCTAATCATATAAGTATATTAGCAAATGTGATCCACCCATAGTGCTATGAAAAGCTACTGCCCCTAAGCTGGGCTTTAGTAGCAGATCTGGGACATGTTCTTGGCCCTTCCCAACTGCAGGAGCAGAGCAAATTGATTGGAGACACTTCAAGCTTACACATTTCACCTGGAGTCTCCTGGCCATGCTGATAGGTGGCAATGTGCTCAGCCCTTACAGATAGGCTATAATTCAATTTACTAGTCCGTTATCTCTCAGGAAATCAATAGTAGAGAGCTAAGCTCATTTTTCCTAAATGTTAGGAAAATACACTACCTGGAGGGCCACTCTTTGAGAAGGAAGCTGTTAATCTGGTGGGCTATCATTCGTATTTAGACTACTACCTTGGCTGGGACAATAAAAGAGCGTGTCAGGAGATGGGTGAACCTCTTGGCCAAAGCTGTTGTACTGCCTGTGCTGTGGGTGACTTCAGTGCGAGTTTCACCTGAATGTCTTGGTCGTCATTGAAAATCCTAGTCTGCCCAGTTGACCTCAGTGCAAACCATCCAAAATTAGAATTGCGTACAGGCAACGGCAGGAGGAAAGGAGGTAAAAGATAAGTGTGGCTTTCGTCAGAGTTCTGTTAGAGCTTGCTTAGTGATGAAAAATAGACACCCAGGAGAGATATAAATGCATTCCTGACTGTTGGACATTTTTCACCTATAGCATTTAAGTGCTTCACAAATGAGCTATAAGTATGTGGATTTGTGAGTAGGTTGACCAGAACAACCTGAATAGCCCAAGTACTTACTGACCCGGATAGATAGTCCAGCAACCTCTCCTAGAAGGACTTCATGGCTACCATAGCAAGAGAGTGGGATACCTTCGGGCCAGAGCTCGGTCCTCCCATGTGCAGTGGTGATGCTGAAACCAGTGCTGTGCATGGAAAATGACATCACACTTGAATCTACTCTTTCCCTTGCTGGGTGGGTGCATGCCCAAGCTCTCTGGGGTCTGGGGTGCCATGGTGAGGGTTTCTAAGCCTCCGTGGCAATATCCCTTGCTCTAAGGACCTGTTACGCCAAGGTGTCTTTCTTGTAACGTTCCTCCTTGCAGGCTCCATTCAGATGGACCTTAATCGGATGCCCAAACCTGCCAAGACTGCTGAAAAGTGCTCCCTGGAGCTGGTGGACGAGACCTTGTCTTCGGGACGTTTTGTGTCCCTCTTTGAGCAGAAAACCGTCAAGGGTTGGTGGCCCTGCGTTGCTGAGCAGGATGAGAAGAAGATCCTGGCAGTAAGGACGTCCATACTCGCTGGCAACAACTCGATGCATTTCTGGCTGGGGGGAGCTCACTGAAAGCGTTGAGGGAGGGAAGGGACTGGGCCAGACCCATGCAGGCAGCCAGGGTCCAGGCAGGAGGTTAGCTGGGCTTCGTCACCACGCGCTGTACATGTCTCAGGAGAAGTTTGTGCTTTTGCATTTCGCTTCTGCACCGGAGTTAGACACATCATGAAGCTGTAGTTGGACACTAACAGTGAAGCAGATGTTGTAGTCGTGCTTCCTGAGACCTTAGAGTCTAAGTTGCCCGAGGCTAGGCAATGATTTCCTCAGAAGTATTGCTTGATACCAGGTTTACACAGATTCTAATGCAGGTTTGTAAGCCCCAACTTGTAGCTCATGAGCAGTTTGCTGGAGGCTACAAAATCCAATTGCTCCATGTATTAATCTCAGTCGTGGGATAGAGGTGTCCCCAGTCTTGCAGATCTGTGTAATTATACATGTTGATGTTCTGTTTGCTGGGAATCAGCACCACCAATGGCTTATTATCCATTTTCATCTCCCACCTTCCAGTGTATAAGCTCCTCTGCCAGGCCTTTGAATTCCTTACGTGTTCAGCAGGGACACCAGCTCAGCTAATGATAATGTGCGGGAACCCAGCATAGCTTCAGCTGTTTTAATGGGAGGAAAATCCCAGTCTCCAATGGTGGTCTTCACTGGATAGGGATATTGAAGTGCTATCAGCCTTACTAGCCTCCTCACAGTGCTTTAGGTGGTGATTGATTTACACCTAAAGTATTTTCTTTCCTGAATGAATGCTCTGCATCAGAAATGAATTTCTCCTCGTTACCTCCCCGTTTTATTTAACCCATCTTACAGGGTAAATTGGAAATGACTCTGGAAATTGTGGCAGAGCAAGAGCATGAAGAGCGACCAGCTGGGATGGGTCGTGATGAGCCGAATATGAACCCCAAGCTGGAGGACCCCAAGTAAGGGCATCTCAAATGGAAAAAGTAATTGTCAGAGTACAGGGTTATTAAGGACCAAATTAAAACCTAGGGTCTCAGCCTGGGTCACTAAGGCTTGCTATGGTCTTGCTCCAGTTTTGGGTCCATTTCTTGCGTGCTTTGTTCAACTGTAGAAGCTGAGATGGTCCAAGGTGGTTGGGGGTTTGGCCTGGACAGCCAAGGAGGCCACTGACATCACATGTCCAGTGACTATGAGTTTCCAGGGTGATCAACCAACTCGTTACACTGGGATGTCCCAGTCAGGGTGGGTCCTCCCTTGGGATGCTCGGTCCTACCAGGAGACTTAGAAGTGACCTCAACTTTGTGTTGACTTCAGACGCCCGGAGACCTCCTTCCTGTGGTTCACCTCCCCGTACAAGACGCTGAAGTACATCCTCTGGCGGCGGTACAAGTGGGTGGCTGTCCTGGTCATCGTGCTCTTCATTGTGCTGCTCTTCCTTGGGATCTTCATCTACGCCTTCCCGGTACGATGGGTGTGGGAGAGGGGAGGGAAAGGAATCAGTCCCAGTGGGCACTCCCCCAAGCTGAGTTGGGGAGTTGAGCCCAAGTTGACTGGGGGAGTTGAGTCCAAGTTGACCAACCAAGTTGAGCCCAAGTTGACTGACCAAGTTGAGCCCAAGTTGACTGACCAAGTTGAGCCCAAGTTGACTGACCAAGTTGAGCCCATATGGGGCTGCCCAACCTCAGTTCTGTCCATGCTCAGGCTGGCTCTGCCTTGGCAGAGATGGTCCCGTGCAGGTGGCTGCCAAGTCCCACGTTGGTCCCGGGGGAACAGACCACCAGAAGCAGAGTTTGAGCATCTGCTGCAGAAGCAGCACCAGGCTCCCAGCTGCTTGTGCTTCGCCTCCTCTCTAACGAGGCCAAGGCTAATTAGCCACTTCCAAAGAAAGACCTGAGCCACTGATGTCAGAGGTGTTGGGAGTCAGTGGGAAAATCCCCAGGAAAAACACAGCTTAATTAGAAATCCGGCCATTCTGCAGGACTGAGCGGTGGCAAGGAAATAAAAAAGTAGCAGTCCGTAATAGTTTAAAGATGCAGGCGAGTTGCAGGCGTTTGGGCAGCCCTGGCTCTCATTATCAAGGCTTGGAACAGTTTATACATAGAGCGCGAGGTCCCAGACAAGGGGGAGGCTTTTCCACCTCGTTCATCAGGAGCGCGGCTTGTCCTTGCCCGGTTCCACGGGCAAACCCCGATAAATAAAGAACGGAGTGCCAGGCTTGCATTTGGCACGGGATGGGCTTTTGTGTCCTCCTCTGTTCCTGTGGCACCGGAGTAAGTCACGCCAGCTTTCGAACGCTGCTTGCCCTCCTACCAGACTGATAAGAAAAATGACTCACCTCTCCCTTTCCAGCACTTAACAAATTCTGCTCCTTGTGTATATATATATATATATATATACATTTTTTTTTTTTTTTAAGAAAAGAGCTCATTGGGGTAATTTATGCTCAGTAGGAGAGAGCGTGGCTGCCTTCCGCAGATGGCTTCGTGCGTTTGCAATGTGCAACTAGCAAGCGAGGTGTGGAATTTCTCCTCGCCATCCTAATGGCTTTCAGATGACTGGCAACCATCAAGAGACACGGCACGGCGTTAGCTCGGGCCTCTTGCTCTCTCTGTATCCGTGTATTCCTGGGCAGGACTCGAATACTTCTCCTGATGGAGAAGCAGTCCCTTAGGTGTTCAGTAGTAAGGAGGAGATAATTGTTCGAGTGCCGGTTTTGGCTCCGTCGCGTCTTCCCTGCTGTGTTCTCCAGGCGTTTCGTGGAGACTCCCCTTCATGTCAAGCAGCAGACACCAAACCTTTCTGAGCCAGAACTCAGAGTTTCCCTGGAGCTGCGAGTGGCTTTTGCGTCTGTGCCAGCGGTATCACACAAAAACAGCGTTAGGAGAAGCACAAATTCTTGAACTATAAATATTGATTTACACTCGTTATTACTTGGGCTTTTTCCTGTTTCCTAGCTAAATGTCGTATCATTTAATTTTGTTTTGGTCGGGTCAGCTTTTAGTCATATTTCTGAAAAGTGAGGCCATGTTTCATGGAATTTTCCCGTTTTTATGCGTTTGGCCAGCTTCCCCCAGATTTTTGAGGTCGCTGGGGCTGTATCTACTTGGAGGCTCAGCTGCTCTCCCGTTCCATGGAGCCTGGCAGGGTGCAGGATGGCCTGGGCACGGAGGGTGCTGCTGGCGCGCCGTGACGAGCACACTGAGACGCGGCGAGGAACGAGGAGCCTCGTGTGCCAGGAGGTTCCATTTCCACATGAGGAACTTCCTTGGTGTGAGGGTGCAGAGCCCTGGCCCAGGCTGCCCAGGGAGGCTGCAGAGGCTCCTGCTCTGCAGATCTCCCAAACCCGCCTGGATGGAGCGGGTGCTCTGGGTGTCCCTGTGGAGCAGGGGTTGGACTGGGTCATCTCTAGAGGTCCCTTCCACCTTCAACCATTCTGTGATTCCATGAAACCACGAGGGATGGCCACGAAGACACATGGCCATCCCTCTGCCAACCGACAGAGGGGTTGGGATTTGGCGTTGTCCATGGCAGGAGGACACGGCACGTGGCAGTGATGGCCCTGCTTTACTGCTTCTGTCGCTCTTTGTGCTTTGGTTTCCATGAGATCCCACTGGGGGCTTTCTGCTTGTTGTGAGCTCCACTGGGACCTGCTGGGCCCTTTTGGTCATCCCTTTTTCAGGAGATCAGTCACCGTGATCTATCTGATCTGGATCCCAGGACCAGCTGGGCTGGACCCCAGGACCTACAAGGGCTTGACAAGGGCTGTGTGCAGCACGAAGCACAAGGCAAGGCCTGAAAGCAGGAATGGGAACGAAGCCACTTTGGAAGACCCTGAGCCACTGGTTGATCAGGGAGGATTTTAGGAAATGCTTCTGTGAGCACCAGCACCCAAATGAGCCCACCCGAAGTGCTTAAGATGGGGACTGAGCTGCCCCGCTGGGGGAAAGGAGCCCAGCTCTGTCCAGAAAGCCTGTCGAGATGCATGTGCACCAGGCAAACATGTCCCAAGCGGTCCAGAAGAGCCCTTGGGAGGAAGACTTCTGCCTGCTGAGAAGAGGAGGCACCTACCTCCACTCATGGGGATGGAGGAGCCCAGTGGCAGGACCCTTCCTGCGGGTGCCTCAGCTACCCCTGCAGCTGCTGCCCTGCCATCCGAGACAGGAGGCTCCCCTGAAAGCCACCCCACGGCATCTGCACGGGCTCCCGGCACAGCAATGGGAGTATTTGGATCTATTCCTATTCCCCACGTAGCGCTGAGAGCTTCGAGCCACAGTCCCAGCTTGCGGGCGTCGCAGGTCAAGGGTATGAGCCCATCACAGAGCCGTGCGCTCCTGCCCGTTATGACCATGGATGGGCTGAGAACTTCCCAGCACCATCTGGTCTTGGGCTTCTCCATGAACATGGAGCAGCCAATGTCTTGGCCTCGTTTGCGATAGCCATCAAGTGATGCTCGACAAACCAGGGGAGCGTTTTGCTCCTGACATGAAGAAACAGAAGCAGTTTGCAGAACAGGCTGCATCTAAAGGTACTTCAGTGACCAGCACCTGCTGGAAGCGGAGGGATTTGGAAAGAATTGCAGCTATGTGCTTGTGTGTTTCCTCATTTCCAGGATGTGGTCAGGGTGACCCTGTTTGTCCCATTCTTCTTGGACAACCATGCAAGTTTCTCACCGAGTTGCCTGTGCATCTTCCAAACTGGTTGATAACCCCCATGCACTGGTGACCCAGCCTGTCCATGCAGAGCTCCACCAGCCTTTGCAGAGCGAGGACAGACGTGCCCATGGGAAGAGGCAGTTGGCACTTCAGGAGGAAGAGGAGGTTCTTCAGGAGCCTTCAGGGGTGGAAATTCAGGCACAAGTCCACGAGGCATCAGTCATCATTAGCTCTACTGTTCAGGGAACAGCTTGTTTTAGCAGCCGAGAGGTCATTTCCAACAGAAAAGCCTTTTGGTTTTGGTTGGAAAACCGTGTGGTATTGCAGATTTCCATAGAAAGTTGTCTAGTTTTACAAAAAGAAAAGGGGGAATGTTGAAAATCTGATATTCTGAGGTTCTTCGTTTGTACTGGGGCTCTTCCACCTAGTCTTAGTGTCAGGTTACTTGACAGCTTGCATTAGCTTTCTTCAGAGAGCGGCTGTCATTATGGTCTGTGCAAGCTCGGGCTCCAGGAATGCCATTCCTTGGATATTTCCTATATGATTTCCTTACACGGCCCTTATATTTAACTTGACATCAGAAGGTTCTTTAAACAACAGCCGAAAGGATAATAAGATCCAGTAGCTGGAAGTCAAAGTCGGAGCCGTCATTCCAGTGGAAATAGGAGGCTAATTTTTGAGAGGGGAGGGTAATTAAGCGTTCCAGCCCCTTGCCAAGGGCTGTGGTAAATTCATCAGGTTCTGAAGCGTCCACGTATGGAGACTGAATGCCTTTCTAAGAAGATACGCTCCAGTTCCACCACGTGTTCCCGTGCAGCAGCGCTCGTCCGTGGCGCGTCCAGGGGCCTCGTGGAGACACTCGCTGGCTTCCTTGGCCTCGTCCTCTGCTGCGGCATCAGGCTGGGGCTAGCCAGAAGGTCAGAACGAGAGATCATAAAGTCCTCTCAGTTCTTCTGAATCTATGAAGTGCAGGGACCACTGTGGTGGAGACATCTCCCCGGAGCAGTGATTATCCTAAAGATTTGAGTGGCTTCCACCAGAGAGGAATGCGCGGCGGCTTCCAGCTGGATGCAGCTCTATTTTGCAGCACCACGACGATGTTTACTACCTTCCAAAGCTCTGTTTGTGCTCCGCGAGCCCGGCTTTGCTCCCGTTGCCATTAATTCTAATTAGAGCGCGCTTGCTGCGCTGATTGATAATCCCGCTTGGCTTTCAGCACTTCGTTAATGCGAATTCATAGCTGGGGCCGAGAACCCGCTGCCCTCCAGAACGCAACCAGTCAAAAATCGTAAAAAATCGGACCGTTTTGGAGGAGAGACTGAAAGACAAATGGATGGGTAATTAATTAGAAGGTTATATTGCACTGGAGGCTTTTCTAATGACTCCTGGTAATCTGCCCTAGCTTGGCTTCCTTGATTTATGGCGTTATTAGAAATCCTCAGTTGGCAAACGGCCTCGTGATCTGCTGCACGTTGTAATTTATCAAGATGCCTTTGGTCAAACTTTATTTCTGTTTTTATCCTTTTTTTTTCTCCCTATTTTTTCCCTTCTGCAAAGAACTTGCTCGTAAGCAGCATTAGGCTTGGTTTCCAAAGTTGTTTTATTTTTTTTTAAGCGACGGCGTGATAGAACATCCTGTACCAATTAAATTCAATATGCTTGGAAGGAAGCTCCGCGTTTGCTCGGCCTGGGGTGCGGGTGCGTGATCCGAGCTGCTTTAAATAGAGCTCGTTGCACATGACCTAAACTGGCATCTCCATGCATTATTTTCCGTGTGGCCCTGATAAGCGAAAAAAAAGCTCGTTTTTTGCTCTCGTGGTGTTGCCTTCTTCTCCCCTTGCAAGGAGGGAGTTGCAAGGAGGGGGTTGCACCTATAACAGGCTAAAATGCCCTGACACCTCATTTTCCATAGTGCTCTCCTTGCAGGATTCGGCCCCATTAGCCGGGATAGGCTGGTCGGAGCCCTGCACACGATCCCGGGAAGTCCGTGTTTGCCTGCTAGGAGCAATCGGATGCCAAGGGCTGATGCTGAGGCAGATGGGTGAGGTGCTGAGGTGCACAGAGAGGGCTGAGAGGAGATTGCAGCAGGAGGTTTGCATGTCTTGGTGGTTTTTGGTAGCTTCTTTGGAGAGAGCCTGCAGATCTTCAGCCTTGGTTCGTACTGCGGTGCTTGGTCAGGATGCGTTGGGGCAGGAACACGTTGCTGGCCACGTTGGTATCATCCCAAGCATGGCTTTTGGCCAACCCAAAGCAGTGCTCTCCAGAGAGCACCATGGTGTTGGGGGATGCTCAGAGATGGACAGGGCCACTTTGGGAAGGACCTAACACAGGATGAGGCCACCAGGCTTGGGGAGAGGGAGGGAGTTTAGCCAGCCAAGGCCTGGAAAAGAGAGTTTAGGCAACCAAGGACTGACAGAGCCTCCGAAGAGGCGGGCATGGGGTGCTGAGGTGATGCTGATGGGGAGGCGGCAAGTTCTTCACGTGTGAGAAGCGGTGGAAATTGATCTTAGGAACTGGTGGAAGGAGAAATGCAGGTCCCAGGGGACTTGTGGTGCCTGCAGGCTGCTGTGTGTGCCCGGCAGCTGTTGCTGGAGGAAAGCAAGCCGTTTCCCCACGTGTTTTGTGCTTCCCACTGTCCTTGCTGGCCCAGCCCAGTAAACATTTTGATACTGGCATCTCCCTGCTCCTGCTCAACCAGTTTCTTGCCCTGTTTTTGCCTCCCCTGCAGAACTATGCTGCTATGAAGCTGGTGAAGCCCTTCAGCTGAAGCTGCGCTGGCGGCCGCCGGAGGCTCCGGTGCCGGCCGGGGATGTGGGACACGGGCGCCCTGCTCAGGAACACCCTTTCTCCAGCCCCAGTGTTGGCCGCTGCCAAAACGAAGACGTAACTTTGCTCGATGCAGATGCAGAAGCCCACCTGCAGCACGTAACCAAAGCCTGCCTTGAAGCACCTCTTTCTTTACCTCTCTCTGTCTCTCTCCTTTCTCAGCTGCTCTCATTTAAAGACCTTGGGTGTCCGTGCAAAACGGAAGAGGGTCGGGGAGCAACGGGCCCCTTCCAGAGTGTATAAAGATGTTGTAGTCCTTCGTGAGGAGCTGTGGGCTGCCCGTTGAAGCAGTAGATGCAAGCCAAAGCCAAAGCCAAAGCCAAAGCCTCTGTGGTCCTGAGCGTTTTCTGTTTGCTCTGAGAAGCAACAGTCATGCAATTTTCCTCTGCCCTGCAATGCATGTTTGCTGGTTGATAGTAAAAGCAAGCGGAGACACAACGTGCTGGGCAGCCCGCACCCCGGTGCTGTCGCGTTGCCTCCCCAAAGGCAGCCGGGGACAGGGGACCTGGTGGTGGCAATGGTGACACTGAAGCTCCTGCAGGACACGGTGGGTGTGAGGGACAACACCGCCCTTCACCCGCAGGGTGGCCCGGGTCTGTGGAGGCTGCTGTCCGGCTAAGCTGCTCTTTTACCTCGACAGTCCCACGAGCCTGCCTTAAAACCTGCGCTTTGGTGGCAGAGAGAGCGGAGCCGGCCAGGGAGCGGCTCCGAGAGCAGCCCCGGAGCAGAACTGGGCACGGGGCTTTGCTCCTCGCCCGTTCTATTACGTGCAAGCCCAGAATTACATAAACTAACAATATTAGTCTTTATTCTCCTGTTCTCCCAAACATGCTTAAGCCTTTTTCTAAGGATTTTCCTGAAACCCTTAGGATTTTCCTGCTGCAAGGAGGCATCTCCCCGAGCAGGGGCTGCCGTCCGGGGACAAGCCGTGCTCATGTAGTGAGCTCCCGCCCTGCTCCAGCAAAGCACTTAGGCGCGCTCCTAGAAGAACAGCTTAAGTGCTTTGCTGGATAGGGATGCTGTGATGCCTGGAGCAGGAAAACTCGTGTTGCTCGGTGCTGTCGGAGCAGCCAGACTGCATGGGTTGGTTCCCTGCCGTGGGTGAGGATGGGGTCTCCATCCTGGAGGACACGCAGCTGTGAAAACCCCGCTCTGCTTCCGAGGTTTAGCAGATTCGGTGGCCCGCTTCCCAAGGCAGCTGGTCCTCGGGAGGGGGCCTTGGCTCTGGCCTTGCATGCCCCAGGGTGGGCGCTTTATTTCACCAACACTATGAAGTGTTTTGGTTTCTGCATTGGTTTATTTTTTCCCTAGAAACCTCCCCGCCTCATGCACATCCACATGCCCAGTTCTAGCCACCATCAAAGGACCAGCTCGTGGTCAAATGCTGAGCAATGTTTCCCCCTGAGGATCTGCTTAGCTGAGGACAAAACTGCTTGGCAAAATTGTCCCCCTCTGACTTGTTCTTCCTCGTTTTGATGCCTTTTCTTCATGTCTGTTTTATGCAATGCTGGCGCCTGGCTGACCAGTTCTTTGTACCACCTTGTTGTGCGTCACCGTGGGGCTGTGTTGAGTCAAAGCAGGCTTGAGCACAGGAAGACAGCTCAGTCGCTTGCACTGCTGGAGCAGCTCCCTCCATCCCTCCATCCCTGTGGATGCTCCGGCTCCCTGTGGCCGGGTTGTGTGTCTCCACCAAAGCCGGCCGGGAGCTGGGGTCTAGGCCGAGTCCTGCCTGCGCCTTGCGGTCGCTCGGGCTTTGCAGGGGCTGGAAGATGCGTCTGTCACCTCTCTATGCCTTATATACAGCGAAGCAGATGTCACTGCGGTTACAAATGAAGTGCTCTGAAACCTTCTGCTCCTGGGTGTTTTATTGGGCTGAGGGTTGTGTGAGGGTGTCCCTTCGTGCTGTGTGGGACGGGGACACCAAGTGCCCTCTGCTCCTCTTCTCCCCATCCCTGCTTCCCAAAAAGCGTCTGTCTTGGAATCCGCGTTGTCCCTCCGTGTCCTCTGCCCGCTTGTTGGCTTTGCTCGGAAAGCAGCACGTCCTGCTGGTCCGGGTCTGTTCTGGCCTGGGTGGGCAGGATGGGTCCTGTGACGTCCCGTGGGGCTGAGCAGGGGTCCCTTTGGAGCTGGTGGCCCTCGCTGGGGACGGGGGGTGGCAGGAGAGCCACCGGGGGCTCTTGCATCCTGTGCTTGGGGATGCGCAAGTGGAGGGGGAAGGAGAACCTGACCAAGGATTCCCCTGCACATGCCCGCAGCCTCTCCTGTCCCGCGTGTGCACCCATCATCTCAGTGTCCCCCTGTTGAGGTGCTTTTGTGGTGCCTGTTCTTCTGCTTCCCCTTGCTGCTGCAGGCCCTGCTACCTGCCGCGGGGCAGGAGCGGGCGCACGAGTCCCACGGCTCGCCTGCTGCACGTTGGCCGCCAAGGTGGCCCCGGTGTCATCAACGTCCAGCATCTAGAGACGAGCCTGTGGCCTCCTCCAAGTTGAAGCCTTCTCTGGAGCTCTTCAAAGCCCGCCTGGATGCCACCCTGTGCCCCGTGCTCTGGGTGTCCCTGCTGGAGCAGGGGGGTTGGACTGGATGGTCTCTAGAAGTTCCTTCCAACCTTAATGATTCCGTGGTTCAGGATGGAGACACCTAGGGACACAATTGGCTTCGGTCTTAGATAAAGGTGCGACCTTTTAAAGTACCCCCACACTGAGGAGTTTCCCAGTTTCCCAGTCCTGCAATATCCTTGGAGTCCATCACTGGAGGGGTCTGCGGGTGCCTTTGGCTCTGGAACTCACGATTTGGTGGCCCGAGCTTCACAGCAGCCCGCTGCGTGCTCTTCTGGATGACACCACGTCCTTGCTGTCAGGAGAGCTGCAGACCCCGTGGTGCTGCTCTCCGCTTCCCAGGTTAGCTTGGGATGTGACCCGTGGCTCCCAGGACTGCTGGGCTCTGCTCCGCATCGAGCGAGGATGGAGACGTCCAAGGTGTCTCCTTGTCCATCACGAGGAGCACCGTGACGTGGTGCCTGGTCGTGGCAGAGCAGGGCTCCTTGCACGTTTTGATGGGTGTCCCCTGGGATGTGAACGACCTACACACACAGCAGGCTGCTCTGCTTGGTGGTGGTGGTGGTGGTGGTGGTGATGATGGGGAGGAGCTGTTAAGTTTTCATAGTTCCTAGATAAGAACTAGCTGAGGTGATAATGAGTGGGTATTATAAAAAATGCCCGCAGTTATTAATGCCTTTGGTGGACCCGAGGAGCCAGGATTGAACAAGCATGGCCCAAACCTTGTCCCCTGCCAGGGGTGCTGGATGCAGACACAGTGCCTGCTCCTGTTGGCCTCAGCCGCTAGATCGTGATGATGTCATCAGCCCTTTTGCCAGTTTTCTACTATTTTCTGAGTCAGATGCACGTTACGAGAACACAAAGTTCCCCAGTCCAGGTGGGCACTGTCTGTGTGCTGCTGCCATGGAAGAATTGTGCAAAGAAAGCACAGAAGTGGATGGATGAAGGTCTCTCACGTTGAGCTGAATCCATAACCCAACAGAGAGAAGTGCCCTGTCCCCTCTGCCCACAACCACAGGATTATAGGGCCCAGAAGGGTCTCTTGGTTGCTCCCATCTCCCTGTAAAACCACAGCATCTCCCCTCCTTGTCTTTGGCCAGAGCTGCTCGTTGAACCTCAAGGCCCAAGCGCCTTCTCTCCACGCTTCAGTCTTCAGCCCCAGCCCCAAGATCCCACACCGTGCCTGGGATGGGATGAACGAGGCTTTTCCTCATCTCAACCTCAAACCAGGCTCAACCTAAAGCCAAGCTCTGAGAGAGAGAGAAAAGCGCTCTGAATTTCAGCTTTCCATGGCCAGAGAGCTCTGCTTTTCACATGTGGGCAAAGGGTGAGAGCCTGAAGACACACGGGGTGGACAGAAGTTGTGGGGAGCACTTTAGCCGTGGCGGGAGACACCTCCAAAGCCCATGATGCTTTCTGACAGCCGAGGTGTTTCTCCAAGCAGGGTTCAGCCAACCTCCACCTTCCCGTGGCTTTTACCCCCTCTTTGCTCCTTCCCTCCTTTCTCCCCTGTCCTCTCCTCCTTTTCCACTTGTGGTTTGCCGTCCGTTTGCTTCCAGACCTCATCAAAGCATGCCATCCCAGGAGGAGGGGAGGGTTACAGCCTCACAAATTAGGAAAGCCCCAGCTCTCTCCAAGCTGGCCTCCCTTTCCCTCTTCAATCCCCTTTTCAGAACATATGTGAAAAAAAGGCATCTGTTCTGCTGCCTCCCGGTGATTGGACCTTCTGGTGGTTTTCTCTGGAAATAGCTTAATCCCATGTTTATGAAAAGAATGAGGCCTGGGCATTTAGAGTGGATCAAGTGCTTGGGGCCTGCTCGGCAGCTGGTGGAGGAGGCAGCAGCCTCTTCTTCCTCCTCTTTTTTTGGGCTTTGGAGCAGATTCGAGGTTGTGCTTCTGTCTGAGGCGAACAGAGACAAATTGGATTTGGTCGACACGGAAGGAGGGAGAAAACCTGAGCAAGCAGGAGATTTGTGTTTGCTGTTTGCCAAGGAAAACACGGTGGGAAGAGTCACCAGCTTGCAAGGCAGAGGGCTGCGGGCTGGAGAACAGAGCCCTGCTGGATTGTCTTCTCCTGGTGTCACCAGGGAGCAGCACAACGGGCACCTGCCGAAGACGAGTCCCTGCAGCCCAGGGCGGTCCCAACTCAATGGGATAATCTGGCCCAGTGCTTGGAGCTGCCCGGTGGCTCTGGAGGTCCTCGCTGTGGCTTTGCTCTCTGCTTCTTCACCGGCTTGGAAGCCGGGCCAGGTGTCTCCTGGCCCAGGTCTCGTGGAGCTCTCCCTAGGGTAACGTGCTCCTACCCATCCCTTCTTCATGCACAGCAAACCAGGGCCAGGACCCTCAAGGCTGCAAGGCTGTTTTGGAAACTAAACAGTTTGAAAGAAAAAAAGGGCAAGAAAATAGAAATTAGAAGCTGTGAGGGCTGCTTTTCCTCTCTTTTCTAGATGTCTGAGCCATAAGGGATTTGCAATTCCAAGATTATCATTGCAAGTGCAAGAGCTAAAACCACACATTTTTACAAGTGAGAACTGCAATTCTGACATCTCCTTCAGCTCTGACACTGGTTCTTTTAAGGAACTATAGAAAACACACAACTTGCAGGAGATGGAGGCAGCTGGTATCGTCTTTCTCATGGCTTGAACACAGGAAGCCACCCAGTAGCACTGGAGATCTCCATTAATCCTGGATGGTTCCTAATAACTAACCCTTAAAGAGATAATCAAGTCCTTCCTACTACTGCCCTGCCTGTCTCGACCAAGCTGTGGTGGGATGAGCACCAGAGAAAGTCCCTTCTGGGCAACTTCCACCTTTTTGCAAGGCTGCATCGGGGACACAGACAAGGATCTACAGCAAATGCAGAGTACTAAATATTCGGGAGGATGGAAACTCCTCTTAAAAGAAGAGGTTGGAAGACCTGGACTTGCTGAGCCCAGCGAAAGGCAGACCCAGAGGACTCTGCCCATCCCAGCACGAGGACCAGCCTTTGTTTTATCCAAAAGACCACGGAGGACTGGTTGTAAAGTGCTTATTTCATCCATCTTAAGTGAGGTTCACAGAGAACTAAAGCCTGGATTCAGACTGTTCCCAGCACCAGCACTGAGGGCAATTCTTCATTTTCTTCTTCCCCATACCATGATATTGGTAAAATCGCTCTTTGCTAAACCCTGGGGTTTTCTAACCAGGTGACCACCCCATTGCTGGAGCAGAGGAACCAGTTGGGTCATGCGGAAGCTCCAGCCTTTTGCTCGATGTCCTGTCCATCCCCAGCCTGCCAAGAGGAAGGAGAGACTCGAGAGGGTCTGTGGTGGAA